TGACAAGGGTGGATGATGTTATGTGTTTTAAACGTATATCATTTTTGTTTCTGGTTCAAAAGAAAAGATTGGAAGTAAATGTGGGTGAAAAGTTAAATTTACTGTCTATCATTGTAAATATTAGAAAAGCAAGACAATACTGTCTTAATGAAAGCATTAACGATTCCCTCTTTATCAAATGAGACAAACGGGAACGAGTTTTGAGTAATATAACTAAGCCAAGACTGTCACCATCATTTTGGATCTCCGCCTGGGTAGATTTTAGTCACGTGCTAGGCAACGTATAATAAGGAACAAGATAGAATTTCATTTCAGACCTATTTATCAATTTTGCGGTGTATAACTTTCGCATGTTAGTACGTAATATTTATTTTGAATCTTCAAATTGTCTTGAAACTTAAAAGAGAATTGTTCTTTAAAAATCACTCAAAATTGGTAGCTAAAATTGTTTGTTTAGGTGTTATTTGATTTTCGTGATAACTTGTAATTTTGTCAGTCGCCGGCATATTTTGTTGCTTCACACAGGAAAAACACACGATACGAAACGTAATGATCGATTTTTTCCTCAATCTCACGCCATTAAAGAAAAAGCTTTTGAACATCTGTAATCTCCGAGCACTTCGCATTAATTTATATTTTCAATGAATCTTCGGATTGTTTTCAAGTCCAAGACTTGTAAATTACAATTTTATGAAAAACGAAGGTTGTTTTGTTTATTTCAGTGTGAATCCTTGCATGCCTGCCAGTCGCTGGCGCCGCTAGTTGAAACTAAAACGAAAAAAAAAATTATTTTAAGATTATCATTGGCTTCTTTTTCACCCCACCGCTACTCTTAGCAACAAACGTCGCCATTTCGTTTGTTTATTGCTCGCCAAAAACTATCAAATGCACTCAAAAGCCTAAAATCGAAAAAAAGTTTACAGGAATCGACCAATCGAGCGAGCGAGCGAGCGAACGAGTGCCATTCTCCACATCATATCTACAACTCGCTCTTGCGCATGCGCGCAATTCACGAGTTAAAAACTGGTAATTATTATTAGTATTATTATTATTTTCTTGTTCATTTTCGATGTTGAACTGCCCAGAACGAGCCACGTATTTATATAGGAGTTTGTCATTTAACTGAAAGACTGAAGTCTGTCGCTATGTCGGAAACATCTGGATTGTTACCTCAGGGGGAGATCAAAACCGTAGTTTTGTTTTGTTTTGTTTGTTTACATCCCTTTTATTAGCATTTTTCTGATAACAATTGTATACCAATCCTACCAAAACTAACATAATCTTTCGTATGAATTGAAATTGAGGTTGAATAACAGTAAGGCCTAAGCATGAAAATAAGAAAAAAAAAGGCGGCAAAAGATGAATGATTTTGGCAGCTGCTCTCACGTGTCGTTATCTTGAGGATGTCAGGCTGGGACGGATGAACGTCGCGGAAATATTTTGAGCCAGGTTGCTAAAACGAATTTTTATAATTTGCCTTTTTACTTAACATAAATGAAACGCAATGGATCGTTAGCTGTATCAATATTTCAGTGTAGTGCATGCGCAGGTCACTATGAATGAAAATAAGAGCAGGTTATAACCAGAAGTACACTGGCGCGTGTCTTAAAACATATGGTATCAGTCACGCGCTTCTTGAGTGAATATAGTTTCATTCTAATGATGCAATGTGAGTGGATCAATTGAGACAAGTCTCATCTAACCACAGAGACCACAGTTCGAGTGAGAACTGCAATGATGAACAAAATGTTAGATGGTTTGGCAAGCCTATTTCGTCTTGCAGCGTTCTTTATCGGTGCGTATATCTTTATCATTATCATGTTACTAGACATGGAGCCAACAAGCATTTTTTAAGGGTTTATAAATTTCTCGGAGCGTCCCAAAATACAGTTGTATATATTAATCGTTTTCTTCCAATTCTGTATGTTTAATTGGGGAAAAAACTACACTCTTGACTGTGAAAGTCTTTTAATAAAAACAAGATATATTCACATATATAGGGAAAATTCGAATTTTTTTGTCTTTTTTTGATCAGCACTAAACTTAGAATACGCCACCATAATTGCGGGTTATCTTATCAAAATTACGAAAAATGAGTCTTGTCGTTATACTTGATGGAAAACTGCCATCTTTATTTATCTATTCATTTATTTGCAATTCTTCTTGGTTGATTACCTTCATCGTTTTGGGCGACGTGAGAGAATTTTCTAAGATAGAGATTCTTACGGCGAGACAATCGCTTTGAAACACAGAATTACATGCGTTATAGAAAGATCGATGGATAGCAATCTATCCGTTGGATAATGTTATCCACCCTTTATACATATTTTCTATTAGTTTTTCCCCATGGATATAAGAATGGCGAGAAATTGTAATAATAATTTCACTTGTGATTTAAATATGCGAAGCTAAGAAATTCTAGATTCGACTCGAAGCCAAGATGGCGTGCATCTTGAATGTAAATTGATAATTAAAATATGGAAAAACTGTACTATCAGCGCATCAGTTACTTGCCACATTAAAAAGAAATGCTACGTAAGAATTTAGCCTAAAAAAAAGGTAAACATTAGGTATTGTAATTCTATAGCTATGATGTATGCTCGAAAGCAAATTCTCTGAAAGACAAAATCGTTATTCAAGTATCACTACAGTGTCAAAACAAGCCGATTAAAAGCGGAACCATAAACGTTACTACCCTTCAACAAAGTTCGCAATAAAATACCTGTAATGAAAAATAAGTTCCATCACTGCACGACTGCAACATTTACTATTTCTGAGTGGTTTGCTAATTGCAGGCTTTATCAGCTTATTATTAATGTTAATATCAATATTTTATTGTCAATATTAACATAATCGTTATTACTATTATTATTATTTTTTATCATTATTATCATTATCATCATCATTAGTATCATCATAGTTATAATGATATTCTTTTGATGCGAGTCTTGTCTTTTCCTTTATTATCCCGTAGTTATTCAAGGGTGCGGGGCAATAGCTGAGCAAAGTAAGTGCTTATGACACTACGGGCAAGTTTGAGTAAAGTTAGAAGATGACCGAGTGAAGTTAATCCAGTTGGTATATTGGGCAGACCACGGTCAGACGTTTCATCCAATTCAAGAGAAAATCATGTTTCATAATTTTCTCCTCAATCAGCTCAGGCGATGCATGCATAGCTAAAAACTGCACTGCGTAAGTTGAACTGCAAAACATGATTTTTTTGGAGAGGCAAGTTGTACTCTATAATTATTTTGCCATCATTTCAATTTATTGCAGATGATACGTGTACAACTGCCCCGTTCTTGAACCGAAGTAAATGTGAACATTCGAACTGCAGAAACTTTCTTGAGAGTGGATGGCGCAAGATAAAATGTAGTCCATTTGTCTTTGGCGCTCGCCAAGGTTCCTGCTCTACGTGGTGTAAAAAACTTTACTCCCTCGCTGGCAGAGTAAAGCCACCATATCAACCAGAGTGTCGAAGTGTTTTCTTAAATCAAGGAATTGACACCGGGAAAATTCTATTTCGTGTAGTACCCTGCGGAGCATTTGTATTTATTATCACCTTAGGTAAGTAGATTTTAGGAAACAGAAAGTCATGATTCATCGAGAAGCGGCGCTTCTTATGTTTTAAGCTGAGTCCACAATTTCAATTCACGTTATTGGAAAACTCAAAAGAGACGTATAAGTGCAACGCCAGACGGTAGAGTTTTCATAGCAAATGATAATAGCTCGCCAGCTAAGAGGAGTACATGTAGCTAAAACCCATTTGAAGTTCCCCTTTTCCACAGAAATGTTTATTGGCATAGCACATTAAGCGTAGCACTAGGTGTAACGTCCAACATTCCTGCCTGATAATTTGAAATGTTCTGCTTTGTTTTACCTTATCGACATTAGAGGTCACAAGGAATATTGATGTTAAGGTGAGATTTTTTTTTCCTAACTTTTTTTTTTTTTTTTAATTTCTAAACAAATTATAATTGTCTTCTGCTCAGATGGAATGTATATGCAGTAGCCAGTTGAAAACATGTTTAAAACAGTTAAATTATTCTCTTATTATTACTTTATATTCTAAACGATCCTGAGCCTGAGCCTTAAAAGCATTAATTTCAAGGTGAAGCTGCAATTATTAATATAATAACTTTTTTTTGTAAAGTAACAGAGTGTTCTTTGTTATGTTGGAGGGTTTATGTTTATTACTGTTTTTGTGTATTGTAACAGAGTGTTCTTTGTTATGTTGGAGGGTTTATGTTTATTACTGTTTTTCTGTTTTGTTCGTTTTTTTGTTTTGTTTTGTTTTGTTTTTTTTGTATATTTTGCTTATCTGAATATTTGCTATATTGTCTGTTTGTTTCCTTTTTCTTTTCTTTCCTTTCTATTTCGCTTTCATGTGGTACAGCCAATTCCAAGTTGGGTAAGATATTTACTTAATGTTTTCCAACTTTAAATGTTTTGCATGGCTGTCAGGATGATAGAACACAGAGCTCGGGCTTCATAGCTGTTTATAACACTTGACATTACACCTTATGATCTTTTAGATGAATGATTTGATGAACCTTTATAACATTGACGTCAATAAAGAAAATGCTTTGCAGGTAATGCTTCATACCAAGATTTAAACTTCAATTATTATGTTTGTCTTACCCTTTACTTTAGTAATTAATTTGTTTTATGTGTTGCTGTTGTTGATATTGTAATCTTTGTATTTGCTGTTCTATTTCTGTTTAATAGATTGTTCATTAAGCACTTAGAGATTGACTAAATGGGATACATTTAGCCACCTATCACAGAGACTCTAAATGTTCATTTCAAAGGGCCGTTGAAGGCAGTTATGCAAAAATTACTGAATATAGCCACCGCGTAATAATTTCCCATAATTGCTGTGTTTCTGTTTCAATTTTGTTGTTGTTGTTCGTTTGCTTGTTTTGTTGTGCTAGTTTGTTTTCTTCGTTTGCAGGAGTTAATTCCTGACATGTTCGGTTTTGCCTATTTTAACCCAGGTTGCTTTACCAGTATTTGCAACTGCAATTAAAAAAATTCGGTTCCGCCATAAACAGAGGAATATTCTCGCAGATGAAGAAGGGGAAGAAGCTATGTTTTCCTCCTTTGCCCTTGAGGAGTTTATAATCAGATTTGCCAAACGCAGATTAAAAATCACAAATCCCGAAGCTAATGTTACCAGCAAAGAACTGGGTAAGTTGAAGAAAAACTGGTTATATTTTGTTAAAAAACATTGTTATCGTTACCATTGTCTTTGCCGTTATTGTTACCGTTATCGTATCTGTTATCGTTATTGTTATCGTCATCGTTGATGATGTGACTATTTTCATCATCATTATTATTTTACTATAGCGTTTCAAGTCAGACGTAATGTTCACCGAAAAGGAAGGGATTTTCTCTTCAATGGAAGCAATGGGGAGAACTTTATCAAGATTCCCTCAGCTAATCTACATCCGAATGGTAGGTGTATTCATTTTGGTTTAGTTCTTCACTTCTCGGCGAACCTGGAAATTCATTGGACTTCATTTTTATCTGCTCTTTTTCGCATAGTAGGACCAACAGCTCGTAAGTGGTCGATTTCATTTTTTTTTAAATTCAGTTCTCCTTCCTCTTAAAAATAGGATCCGTAGTACTCGGGATTGAATACAACAGCCTTCAGGAGCTTTTTTCAAACTACTCAGCAGGCTCTGGAGGAACCAACAAAACCTGGTTTGTAAATTTTAAAATATAAGCCACAGACAGAAAAAAAAAAAAAAAAAAAAAAAAAGAGGCTAATTTGTGATTGCTGAGTTTGGTTTATTTCAGGATACTGGACAGTAAAATTATATCCGCTGTAGTAGATCCTTTGCTAGAAGTGCTAACAGAGAACGTCACCTTGGTTTTTCAAAACACGAAGGTATTTTTTTCTTTTTTTATCATTTTCCTTTGTTTGTTTGCTTGTTTGTTTTTGTTTTTCTTTATTTGTTCCTTTCCGTGGCTACGGGTTCCCATTACAGTCGATGTAAGTTAGGATTAAGTTCGCGTTACATTGTATGAGCCCCAAACCAATCACATTTCATCGCATTTCGACTCCTTAATTGAAATACAAAAAGTAAGAGAAAAAAAAAATGTCATTTCCTAACCATATTCTTTAATACTCAAATTAACTTTTGTTGAAAACAAATTTAGACCTCATTTGTGGGGTTGCCCCAGGGACCTTCATGTTGAGAATTACCATTTGACTTGGAGGGTAACACTAATATTCTATAACTGATGACGCCTTACTAGTCAGCTACTAGTAAGGCATCACTGGGGCGAGCGCTGAAGCCTCACTATATTACCCTTTCAATCACAACACTTGACTCTATTTTTCCTTTAGGTGAATCGTAAAAAAAGAACATGTGTATTCTGGAGCTTCTCTGAAGAAAAGTAAGCACTACAGTGGCATAAATTTTATTATTTCATCGTAAACGAAGCTCAAAGTATTAGAAATCACTTTGGAGATATGAGTAGAGTGAACTGGATTATTTTCAGGTGGAGGGAGAGGGAGGTTTCTAATTGAAAAAGTTATTTTGACTCCTTTCTCCTTGTCTTATTCGTTTTTAAAGCTTTGGGGGTTGGTCAAGTGAAGGATGTCAAACAAAGATGATATCAGATCATTACACGGAATGTGTTTGCAATCATCTCACCCACTTCGCTGTACTCATGGATTTCACCAACAATGCTGATGACGGGAAGGTGACTATTTTTTGTTCTACAAAATAAAATTATATGGACCTAAAAAGGTACATAGAAGCATAAAAGTATCGCATTTATTTTTATTTGTTAATATAAACACTTCCTTTGATACAGATAAAATAATTATGACCTTTACAGTTTTTCAATCAGGATAAAACTCGTTCGTCAGATGAGCATGACAAAATATTGACACTCCTTACTCGAGTAGGGATGGCTTCATCTCTCACCGGAGTCGCACTAACAATTATCAGCTATCTTCAGCTCACGTAAGTACATTTAATTAACACTGATATCCCTTGAACTGTATTGTGAGAAATTAACTATATCTAAAAGGATGGAAAATAAGTCGTCAAATCAGTTTTGGATCGATGTCAGCACAGATCGACCGTATCTGGAAAAGAAATCAAACGTTTTGAGATGATCTTTCTTAAAAAATGATATTTCAATGGAAACTTTCTGGTCAGTATTCTTTTATTCATTCGTTATTCACAAATTAATTCCTATAAAAAGTGTATTATGTCAGCATAATTATATTATTCGTTCGTTTGGTGGATCATTTGCAGTTGTCTTTTTGATGGTTTCCTTTACAATTCATTGATCCTTTTAGTCTGACTGCTAAATCGATTTCAATTAGTTACTATTTATTGGCTCGTTTGCAGAGACAGAAACTTACCTTTGTGTCACATACGGGTTAGTCTGACATCCTGCATTGGAGCAGGACATATCATCTTTTTCGCTGGAATCGACTTCACTGAAAACCAGGTGACTCTTTGAACCTCCTGTTCTTGTAATTGTTTGTTTGTTTGCTTGTATTTAATTTGGTCCCAGCTTCTTAATGATTTGAAGACTGACTGATCCATCGAGTGATTCTTTTTCTTGTTCTTGTTCTTTCTTTTTTTTTTTCCCTCGGTTTTGCATGTTTTCTATGTCGTAGTTTTGCCTTGTTCGTTCTGTTTATTTTGGTTTCTGTTTCTTTCTGTTTTTCGGATTATTATTTCGGCAAATACCATTTGACGGGAAAATTATAACACTTTTACGGATTATCTATTTCTTGCAGGCTGCTTGTGTAGCTGTGGCAGCTCTTATGCAGTATTTCCTGATGGCCAGTTTTTGCTGGATGCTTGTCGAGGGGATTTATATCTATTTATTTGTTGTAAAGGTTTACAACATTACCGATAAAATGTATCGCTATCATGGCTTTTGCTGGGGTGAGGAGATTGTCAACAAATGAGAAAAATGGGATAGGACTTGAAGAAATACTTGAGGAAATATCTCGATTCTGATTTGCAAAAACCAAACTGAACAAAAAGATCTTAAAATGGCTTTGTTTTTTAATTCTTCAAATGAACACACGCATTTTTTGGAAACCATTGCATCGTCTCGAGTTGTACCTAAGCTAATAGTTAAATATTCCCTGTGCTCATTAGAGTTAGTTATAAATGCAAATTTAGTTGGCTGAAGTAAGGCAGCTTTGTCGAATTTGCGGTGATTTAGTAATTTCATACCCACAGCCAAAAGGTTTCGAGAGTTAACAACATAAAAAATCACATTGAAAATTCATATAATCGCGTAACAACTTACCGTCGGTGGTTTATTAAAATCATCAACTTCTACAGTCATCGGCTTTGGCAAATGTAATAACACTAGAACTTGATTATTTTTGCTATAATGTCTAACTTAAACTGGCAATCTTTTATCTTTACTTTCCTCAGGACTGCCTGCAATCGTAGTTGCTGTATCTCTGCCAATCGCTGCAGGAAATGATGGAATCGAAACTTTTGTCAATGATGAAAAGTAAGTTTTAAAGTTTGTTAATTTTATCGACTGCATACAAAATGGTGGAAGCCTGAATTCATGAACCTGAAAAAAAAGGGGGGAATGGGGGAAGGTAAAGGAGAAAAATCCTGGTGCCATAGTGTGACCTTCCCTTTTCCCTGACTCCTATATTTTGTGAACCAGGACTAAGGAATGCAAGGGCTTAATAACAGAAACCTGCAGCCCTTTCAACTGGCCTCCCTTCCCCCCCCCCCTTACCCACCAGGCACCCCCTTCTTTCAAGCTGCAAGCTGTGGATCTCTCAATGTATTACAGTACAAGTAGTGGAAGAGTTTTTTAATGTAACGTAAAGGCAACATGCTGTATCAAAAATGAGTTTGGATTTGACATTCTGCCATGAAACACCTTTAAATGCTGCTATCGACGTAGAAAACAAATTTAAACTTTGTTCCACTGTGCCTTTTTTTTCTAATTCTAAGCTGCTGGATGTCCTCCTCTAATAATATCATCTGGATATTTGTTTCCTTTGTTGGACTGATCGCAATTGTAAGTGGCAACAGATTGAATTTCTTCGATGGATACCAGTTTTAGTCATCTGAAAATATTTGTTTCACCGTTGATTAGATCAACATTTTTTCGATCATTTCTATTCTCTTGATGAGTCTTTAAAATTCCTATTGGAAAACTTACAACAGAAGCAAGGGCAATAAAAAAATATCCGACAGTTCCTTTTTTCCCTTTTCATCTTCTCCCTCTTCTTTTGTTTTCCTTTTTAATAACTGAAGATTAACATGATGATCCTCGTGCGAGTTATCAAGGAATTAACAACAATCCAACATGTGAAGGGGAGCCAAACTGAGCAGATCAGGTGGGATTATTAGTGTTTCTTCTCCTTAAATGCCTTGCTTGTTACAAAGAAAAACTGGCCTAGACAGGCTTGACAGGCTTTGAATGACGCCCTAGCACATAAAATATGGTGAGTTTTCGATGGAAGACCTTCAAAGTGCTTCTTTTGTCACTCCCAACATTATATCGCAACTATTCATTACCTTCAATTTAAGAGTCTTCAATCTTTCTTTATTTCAGCTTGTGGGAAAAAGATTTAGAATTCAGTTTAACGCTTGGGTTTTCAAAGTGACTATTCATTTGGTCTCTTTCAGGCTTGGTGTTCGTGCATGCGTGGTGTTGGTCCCATTGCTGGGTGTCACGTGGCTGGTTGGCTTCCTTGTGCCGTTACACATCGCCTTTTCCTACATTTTTGTAATCCTTAATTCCAATCAGGTAACGTCGTCTAAAATCTTAAAGGTTTGTTCAAGCATTTGCTTACCCATGGGTAGAGATAAGAGCGTACTTACAACGTGATAAGCGTCAGAAATACTGAAAAGCGCCTCCATATCTCAGGATAATTCAGAATAACTTTTAGACACCAGACCCGTGACCCTCCGTAAATAAGCCGACTCGCGACCATTTAAACCTTCCTTTTGCACTTGTATTTTTTATCTTTAAAGCCTTAGCTCTGCTTAAAAATGATATTAGAGTCAACATGAACTACATCTGACGGATAGTGTTATATTCGGGAAAATAAGCCTCAGATAAGTCAACAATCGTAGATGATAAGGAAAAGAGATCTCTAGCAGAGTTGTTCTAAAGGACACAACCCTACATTGACGACAAAAAAAAAAAAAAAAAAAAGAAAGAAAGAAAGAACAGAAGAGTAAAGCTGCTTTTATTTCTGTATCTTTTTTCTTATTTGTTTTATTATCAACTAATGGAGTTTTATCTATATTTTGTCGAAGGGATTCTTTATTTTCTTCTGTCACTGTTTGGGAAATAGTGAGGTATATATGAATTTTGAGTCTCTGTAATTCATATCAAGAAAAACTTGTTAAACATAATAAGTACCTCTGATTTTACCTTTAATTCCTATCCAGATAAGGGGGCGTTTCAAAAGAAGAATCTTAAAAGTCCCCCCAGATGCATCTAATCAAAGGCAAGGTGACAATAGAGGAAACTCTCAAGCTCGTCAAAGTCACAATGATACTGGGATTCCTGTGCAGGATCGAGAGTAATCAAGGGAGTTTGAACTTTGGTCTTGTCAATGGAATAGGAGAATACTAAATGCATTTATAACCAGCTTCACTTATGTTGCTTAGGCTGTAGCTGATTCAAGTTAATTCAAGTTGTATTTATAAATATATATTTTTTTGTCCAGCTGCTGGGAAATATTCTTAAGCACAGACTTAGTTTGGTTAATGATGTGTAACCACACTTACCTGGCATCGTTGGCATTTTATAGAATAATTATTTGTCTAAGAATCAAATTGCCAGAGAACAACAGTTTATGATAGACTAATTAATCATTTAACCGGTAATCAGGTCTGAACCCAGGCTTTGCTAGGTTGATGATATTTAACCACACTTACGTGGCATCGTTGGCATTATAAGGAATAATTATTTGTTTTAGAATCAAATTACCCGAGAATACCAGTTTATGATATACTGATTAATCATTTAACCGGTAATCAGGTCTGAACCGTATAAATCAATTTTGGTGCTTTTATTTATTTATTTATTTATTTATTTATTTTTAAGCACAGAAATAAAGTTGGTAGTATATAACAATTAACTTTATAGTAGAAAATTGTCCAAACTACAACATATTGGAGCCGATGAAGAGAACATAAAAACATTAACTTTCTTTTGGTGCGAGACTCGAGGATTTTAAAACTTTGAAACGACCTACGATGAATCCTGGAAACTGGAGTTTAAGTCCATTGGCAAAATATACCGGCTGGTCTCATGAGCAGATCAAGCGCTGACAAAATTTGACAGCTTTGAAACTTTAAGCAGATGCAAAAAGCGAGACAAAAATCTGTCACGACACAATTTGTCCTTTGATTATGTCAAAAGGAATTCTGGTTTTGTCTGCTAGTGCAGATAGCCCAGATCGGCTCTAACAAAGAAATTTTTAGTTAAATAATAGCCTTCACTCTCGAGAAATTGCAAATATATTACTCATATGATCCGACTACAACTTTAATTCCGAAACTTCGAAAACATCTCTAGTCAGTCTGGCTTTCTTTCACTGCGTCACATTTTTCGTTGTGCTGCGGGTGTCAACTAGTACTTTCACTTGGAACATGCTAATAACTGTTTCATTTTCTTCCATATCAAAATTTTAAAAGATAAGATTATCATAAAAATGTAAAGTTCTTCCATCCATTTAATACAGTGTAACTTTTGATTTTAATTCGTTACATTGACTAATTTTGGTTTCAATTCGTAGAACCTGCGAAACAGGTAATATAAAAAGGGGGAAAATTTGCACAATCTCGTCACGCAATACATCAAACTGGGTTTGTACAGTTGATTTTGATGGTGGCAGGGAAATGTCAAATTTATCGCTCAAAACCGTTTTGGTCCACAACAGCGTAACTCCATTAGTGATTGAAACAAATTTGCAAAAAGTAGGGCTAGTTCATCGGGTTCCGTGTGCTAAATCTCGGGAGAAACTGCAGAATTCTTTTAGTGAGTATGCGTGTTGTTTTGTAAATATAAACACTGTAACGTTTTTTTAATTGTTTGTTTGTCCTTTAAAGCAACGCAACAATGTCTGTAATAACCGGAGTGCCAAATTTAATTCTTTAATTTTGACATTCTCCACACTTTGTGTAGTTCATAATCTGATATTTCTACGTAAATTAACGAATCCTGCATTTTGATTGCTTCTTAGCGCGGTCCGGATTTTTTTATCTCTGCCCACGTGAGTCGTGGGTCGCCGAGTACATCCCTAGTTTCGTTGCTATTTTCATAAATATAACTTGTTTTGCCGGCTGGAAATATTTTCAAGCATTCAAGCCAATTAATAACTTATTAACCGTCTCCTTTCTCCCTCTCAAATCACTTTGGATACTCTGCTGAAGACAGAAAAAGCTGTTTGAGGGGAAATTACAAACAGGTCAGGGCAAATTTCTGGTTCCTAAAATTTTCGATGCTTGGATACAAACCTCTGTAACTTTCCAGAGTTCTCGTTCAGCGTTCACAGTACACCACGAAGATTTTCTTTTCGTTCTTACCCAAGTTGTTATTACCTTCAAGGTTACGAACGTAATCCACGCTGGTAGTGAACTGACAGATTCATCCTAACGGTTGGTGGCATTTAGTTGTCTGCAATTCTATTGTTGTAAATTACAGACCTAAACATTTTCCGTTTCACAAATAACAGATTTTCATTTCGAAAGTTATAGAGTTTGAGCTAATTCAACAATCTACAGGTGTCAATTTTATTTCGCAACAGTAAGTCCTCGGTACGGTTGAATAATGACACCAAAACAAGAGAGGCACGCGAACTCTGGAATGTTAGGGAAGTGGTAGGACCAAGCATGGAAAATTTTGGTACTGGAAATTTGCCTTCACTTGTTTGTAATTTCTCCTCTTACAGTTTTTTTAAGTCTTTGGTACAAGAGGCAATAGTGATCTGCTTCATAGCAGCAGTTTCTTGCATAAATCAAACAGAGCTACAATTTTTTTTCCTTTGCCGCCGTCACTTCACACAATGCCTCTCTCGCAAATCTATATATTTTTTTTTCACTCTTCCACTATGAAATTTCGAGGAATTTTCGCTCGTTTCTCTACCACTGCACTTTATTCTTTATACCGATGAAAGCGACTTCGCACTTAGCCTCGTCCTCAGGCCGTAATTTCGGTACCAAATCACTGAACCGCGAGAACTCAGTAGTGGCCTATTAAATATATCGGTTGAATTTTCGTTCATTTGATATCTGATCGAATTGTCTCAAACAATTTTTTCGTTGTAGAACGGTGAGCGGAGTCTTCAGTCCCAATAAAAATAGCTTTCGGTAAGTCTTTGTAGGTCTGTTCAATTTAGTCATTTGTACCATAAACTGCACAGCAAAAACCCAAGGAATTCAATGAGAAAAAGGCACATTAAATTATCATTGGGTCCATTTAGAGTTCTTCATTTGACTTAAGTCTATCGGTGAAAGTTCGTTAGCTAAACCAGTGCCGTTGTTACTTTCTTTCAATATTGCGCATGCGCTTTTCATCTTACGCGCTCTCTATTTGACAGGTGTCAGATTGTGACAGATACTTGTAAAAAAATGTTTCAAAATTTGTTTAGAAGCCTTTTAAATCACCTTAATCATTACACAAATAAATATAATTCGGTAAAGCCTCTCTCTTTAAACTGCAATACCTCTACTTTAACTAACATTTGTCTGTCTTGATTTCCGCCCTCGGCCTGAGGCTTCTGACGGTACTCAAGATTTTAGGCACAGTTTTTCCGTTTGGCGAATAACATATATTGTTAAAAACTATTAATATTATGAATATCATTATTATTACTGTTGTTGTTATTATAATTACTTGATCTTCTTAATTTCATTTTGTTACATATATATTACAAATACAACATTTTCCTCAGAGCGTATCTTCTGTAAAGCATGTATGCATACCCAACTTACTCTAGTTTACTCAAAAAAGGTTTGAAAATAATGGGCACTAACTTGGGTGTTTTTTTTTTTTTTTTTATCATCGCTGCCGCGATAGTTTAATATTTAGTTTTTTTTCTTTTCTTTTTTTTTTTTTTTTTTTTTTGTAAGTGAAAGCCCTTTAATAAGTTGAAAGATAGCACATACCGTATTAATATGAAGTAATGCATTGCGTGCTAAATTGTCGCGTCACGAAGGAGAATTGTAGAACAGATGGCCGGGATGACATGTGGATAAAAACATAACTGGATGAATCATAGGCGCTTCAAGTGAATATATGTTTTTATGTCATTGATTCATTGTGGATGAATTGATAGAAACAAGAGTCTTCGAGTGAGATCAAGAGTCTTCGTGTAAGATCAAGAGTCTTCGTGTGAGATAAAGAGTCTTCGTGTGAGATCAGGAAGGATGAACAAAATACCCTATGGTTTCGGAAGCATAATTCATATTGCAACGTTCCTTCTTGGTAAGAATTATCTTACGCCGATTAATATTATCAGTATTTCGATTGACCCGATGCAGAGGCAACTATTAGTTTAAAGTTTAATTTAATTTGTTAATCGTTTATTGGAACGTCAAACAAAAAGAAGAAGGGGGGGGGGCCTTTACTTTCTAACTTCCTCTGTCAAATTGTGTCAATTACTGACAGAATCTACACACTTAATTTGAAACTCCTTTAACAACAAAATTAAATAAGCAAATATTAAACATTTGTGTTTTTATGGATCGGTACTGTCCTTCAAATTCAATTAATAATGAAAGGCAGAGTCAAAATATTAGACAAAAACTATGAGTTTTTAGTGTTATGCTAACGATCAAAGCCAACCTGCTACCGAAGCGGAACTTGCAGTAGTTTATCACGTCAAAAACACCAGTTCATAGACAAAACTATTCAAATAGGTTTGTTTGTCGCAACTCATTTTTAACGGATAATGATCAATCTATATAAAATTTTGTTTAAGAGGATACAACGCTACTTAGCTAATTGCCGTTTAAAAGTGTCACTTAGTTGATCGCCTTTATTATTCCGCGAGACGCCGTGGGTTTTCGAAAAGGCAAGATTACATTTCCTTAGGGTGACACGATCGATTTGAACCACACGATTTTATATTGGATAGAAATAAGAAAACCAACATACAAATTGTTCCATGAAAAAAGAAATTATTTTAGAAGCAGTCGCTTTAATTTTTCTTTCGCTTTTCAGAATAACAATGTACTTTAGGAAAGCGCCGTGAACTGCGTCAACCAGATGTTATGACTCAAGCTTATAAACAATCAACTTAAAGAATATACAACTTAGGAAAAGGCACAGTCTAACGATGCTTTTGGTTGAAAGAATTTCCTCATGATTATTCCAAAAAGAAAGGCTTAGAAAAGAGATCTCATTTTTCTCATGCAAATAAATGCATCGAATAAGCTTTATGCCTAAATACATGCTATTTAAATACGTGAGGCTTATTTCAAAGCCAAGATGACGAGCATCTTGGATGTAAATAAAATTAAAAACTTGCGCAAACTATACGATAAATGCATCGCAGTCAATGATTATTACTAGTTGTTATTGGTATCCTTTTCATTTAAGGTAACATTTCTTTTCCTTTCCTATCCTGTAGTTCTTCAAAGCGGCCGGGCAATGGCAGAACGAAGTAAGTTCCCGGTTATCAGCTGGCTTTAGCAAATTAAAAAAAAAATTGAATGAATAAGCTAATCTCAAGTGGGTTAATGGACTATTAACTGTCCAATTCCTCCCACTTTGTCCAGTAGCCAGGTGTTCATTTACTTTATTTCGCTGCGATGTTTATTTTCCTACAGATCATGAGTGTGAAACTGCCCCGTTCTTGAAGCAGAGTGAATGTAGTGGTTCCAACTGCAAAGGACTTCTCACGAGTAAATGGCACAGGATAAAATGCTTTCCGTTTCCAACCAGCCGTAGAAAAGGTCTATGCTCTAAATGGTGCAATGAAGGAGGGACATCGACTCAGCCTTGCTATAATGCATTTCATAAATATTCTTCAGATCAAATCTGTTTCAAAAACAGCGACGAAAAACTCAACTTTGAAGTAGTACACTGCAGATCTTTCGAGTTTAACATTAGGTTAGAATCGATGGTTTCAAGTGAGTATTTTCCTACACTTTTTCTGTTTGATCCTTTCTACTTTATTGTTTTACTTTTTCTTCTTTTTCTTCTTCTTCTTCTCATTATGATTGTTATCTTTATTATTATAATTGTCATCGTTATTATTATTACTATTATAATTTGTTTGAGATCATAACTCTTCTATGATTTTTTCACATTGGGATACTAAGGGAAGAGAAAGCTAAAAAAACAATTTCGAGCCTCAATTCCGTTTGCCTTTAGCATAAGTATAACTGTTTAGCGATGCCAGTTATGTACTGTGTTTTTGCAGCACCTCATCAGTCTACAGAGGCAGGCGGACGACAAGCTTACAATAGGCGTTAAATTTTGCTTACAATGTTGGCATTTGCCCAGTGTCTATTGTATTGTTTATATGGACTGGAAGTTTTTGATCCCGGATGTTCTCAACGAACTATGGGATTTCCAAACGATCGTGGCCTGCACTGATGATCACATGCAACATGTCTGTTTTTAACTGTTTATTAAATCGTTGTTAATTTTATACATCCTGAGTTGAAGTCCATTCGATACCTCACATCTATAAGGTGCTCAAAATTCTACAGCCAAGAAGTGTAGTTTGCAATTGTGTAGAAGAGGTCAAACTCCTTTAAAATTCCTAATATAGAGTACGAATACCACCAAGCGTCAGTCCTTTTGTTTGATATAATTTTTATTTCCCGCTTTTTATCTCCTAAGCTTTTACTACAGAAACAACTGGAGTAACAGACGTTACAAATCAACCAACCATCATTTCAGCCATCAAGGATGCAAAACAGCGGTTTAGATCTTCAATCCAAAGCATTCGGTTCGACGATTTAAAAAGGATTCCAAAGGATCAAAAACTGGAGGATACTGTCTTTGCTGCGTTCATCTTTGAAGACTGTATATTAAGCACTGCCAGAAGGTGGCTGCACGCTACAAATCCCGAATTTATTGATGTCGATAAAGATCTGAGTAAGTGCAAAATAGTCTTTCCTCTTTTTCTCGGAAATGAGCTTCATCATGTACGTGTTCAGGCAAGCAATACGTGTATATTAAGAGCCAGCAGCACTATACTTTACATCAGCCACAAAATTCTGATATCTCTTTATCGGAGGCATGAACTGTGGCTTTCAATTCCATTATCTGGGAATGACTGCATGCAAAATCATGAGTTGGGGGAAATGCAACTGAATAAATTCTAGTCATGCGGGTCATTACCTGTACTGAGCACATGCAGTTTTACTCTGAAGGCAAGTAAAATATATGTTGGCGCTGTAGCATTTGCATCACATATTTTGCTTTTTTATCAATATAGACTTTCGAGTTCGACGTAATGTCCTTCAGAGAGGAGATGACTTTCTGTTTAATGGGAGCAATCGGGGGAACTTTATTAAGATTCCCTCCGCTAATCTGGATCAAGGTAAAAACCCTTCCTTGGTTTTAGTCAATTTATTTCAAGACAATTGCCCATAATTTCTTAGTCAACTCTTCAGAGGAAATGGCTTCATTCCGAGTTGCTATACCAAATCTGCAATATGCACCAGTGTGCATTTAATACAGTGAGTTCTTGTTTTTTTTTTTCCCTTTTTCTCTCCATCTTTGTCCAAATCGGTTTCAGTTTTGAAATTTCTCAAGCCTCTTCCTTTTCTATTCTTTCCTCTTTTTTGGGTGTCATTACGAATAAACTTTATGCGTTTTGAAAAATTTTGAGTAATGCGCTTTTTCATGATTCAGCTGTCTGTAATGACATTGGTGCCCAGAGCATTTAAAAGCCATGGTCGATTTTCAAAAAATAACTACATCTTTGGAAACCGAAATCAATAGATTTCTCATTTCTCTTTTAAACAGACTCCACAGTACTTGGGCTCGAATACACTAACCTTTCTAAACTTTTATCAAACCATTCAGCTGACACTGAGAGAGACAACAAAACAAAGTATGTATATTTTATTTTGATGACTGAAATGGAGTGGAAAAAGAAGCGTTTAATTATTTTTTGATCATTCAAGCTGTTTTTTTTTTCAGGATACTTGACAGTGTAATTATGGCCGCCGTAATAGACCCTCCACCCAAGGTTCTACCGGAAAACGTCACACTGGTTTTTAAGAACATGCAGGTATATACGCTACTCTTTCGTTATGTTTACCTTTGTTTTAATTGAATTGGCGTTTTCTTGTTTGTTTGTGTTTTTGTTTGTTTCATGAAAGGGAAACACCAATAGTCCATTCATTCCTTATTTGGGTGACTATGTTGTCATCTTTTCCCTCAGTTGAAACTAAGTTTTGATGACTAGCCCATAATTTGAAAACTGCTCGAGACTTGACTAATAAATGAGCATTACATCCCATAAGGCTTCCTGCAATTTTTTTAATTCGTCGCCTTGAAGCCACCACAGGAGGGGGGGAGGGGGGAATATCAGACACTGGCAGCCCTCCTCGATTTTACATCGAAGACTTGAGAAATTCGAATTAAAAGATAAATTTAAAAAGTTGGTTTTTGCTGAATAACAAATTTAGACCTCAATTATGGAGTGGTCCCAGACACCTCCATGTTGAGAATTACTTTTTAACTTGGAGGGTTACATTGATATTCTATATCTATGACGCCTTAACAGTCAGCTACTGGTAAGGCATCACCGAGGCGGGCGCTGAAGCCTCGCTATATCACTCTTTGAATCACAACACTTTATTTTTTTTCCCAATAGGTGAATCGTAAAAAAAGAGCATGTGTATTTTGGAGCTTCTCTGAAGAAAAGTAAGCACCACAGTAACATAAATTTTATAAACAGCATCAATTCTTCCACTTTTTCGTCTGAAAGGAAGCTAAAAGTATCAGAAATCACTTAAAAGCAATTAGTAAAGTAAATTGAACTCTTTTCAGGTGGAGGGGGGAGGGGTTTCCAATCGAATTAGTTATTTTGACTCCTTTCTCCTTATCTGATTCTTTATAAAGCTTTGGGAGTTGGTCAAGTGAAGGATGTCAAACGGAGATGATCTCTGATCACCATACGGAATGTGTTTGCAATCATCTAACCCACTTCGCTGTGTTCATGGAATTTACCGACAATGCTGACGACGGGAAGGTGAATATTTTTTTCTATTCTACAAAAAAAGTCATACGGATTTAAAAAAGGTACATAGTGGCATTAAAACTATCGCATTTATGTTCATTTATTAATATAAACATTTCCTTTGATACAGCTAAAATAATAATGACCTTTACAGTTTTTCAATCAGGATAAAACTCGTTCGTCAGGTGAGCATGACAAAATACTGACACTCCTCACTCGAGTAGGGATGGCTTTATCTCTCACTGGAGTCATACTCACGATTATCAGCTATCTTCATCTCACGTAAGTACGCTAACTTAACGCTGATATCTTACTGAATTGTGGGAAATTAACTATAAGGAAAATAAGTCATCAGATCAGTTCTGGATCGATGTCAGCACAGACCGCTTGTAACTGAAAAAGAAATCAAACGTTCTGAGATGATCTTTCTTAAAAAATGATATCTCGACAAGGAGTGAAAATAGCTTTAGACTAACGTTAGTGTAAAATTGAAACTTTGGAGTCAGTATTCTTTTATCCATTCTATATTTTCTAAATAATTCATGTAAAAAACATAATTTGTCAGCGTATTTATTCATTCATTTGGTGGATCATTTGCAATTGTCTTTTTGATGGTTTCTTTTACAATTCATTGACCTTTGTTCTGTTTTTGCCTGACTGCTAAATCAATTTCATTTAGTTGCTATTTATTGGCTTGTTTGTAGAGACAGAAATTCACCTTTGTGTCACATACGGGTTAGTCTGACTTCCTGCATTGGAGCAGGACATATCATCTTTTTCGCTGGAATAAACTCCACTGGAAACCAGGTGACTCTTTGAACTCCTACTTTCGTGTTGCTCATTTAATATTGCTGTTCTTGTGATTGTTTGTTTTTTAACTTGGTCCAGCTTCTTTACGATTTAAAGACTGACTAATCTACCGAGTTATTCCTTTTTCTTGTTTTTTGTTTGGTTTGTTTGTTTCTTTGTTTGTTTCTTTGTTTTTGTTTTCATGTTTTCTATGTTGTAGTTTTGTCTTGTTCTTTCTGTTTACTTTTGTTTTTGTTTCTTTCTGTTTTTTTCGGATTATTATTTCGGGAAATGTCATTAGTCATGAAAATTATTACATTTTTACGGATAATCTATTTCTTGCAGGCTGGTTGTGTAGCTGTGGCAGCTCTTATGCAGTATTTCCTGATGGCCAGTTTTTGCTGGATGCTTGTCGAAGGGATTTATATCTACTTTTTTGTTGTAAAGGTTTACAACATTACCGATGAAATGCATCGCTATCATTACTTTTGCTGGGGTGAGGAGCATTGTCAAGAAATAGCAAAAATGGGATAGGACTTGAAGAAATACTTGAGGAAATGTCTCGATTCTGATTGGCCAAAACCGAACCGAACAGAAAGATCTTAAAATGACTTTATTTTTTAATTCTTTAAATGAACACGCGTTTTTTTCGGAAATCATTGGAACGTCTTCAGATGTACCTAAGTAAATCGTAAAATATTTCTGGTGCTTATTAGAACTAGTTATAGTTGCAGATATAGTTGGCTAATATCACGCAGCTATGGCTAATTTGCAGTGTTTTAGTAATTTCATACCCATAATAAAAAGATTTCAAGAGTTAACAACAAAAAATCACAGTGAAAATTTATATAATCGCGTAACAACTTACCGTCAGTGGTTTATTAAAACCATTAACTTCTACAGTCATCGGCATTGGCTAACGTAATAACACTAGAACGCGAATATTTTTGCTGTAATGTCTTTCTTAAACTGGCAGCATTTCATCATTACTTTCCTCAGGACTGCCTGCAATCATAGTTGCTGTATCTCTGGTAATCGCTGCAGGAAATGATGGAATCAAAACTTTTGTCAATGATGAAAAGTAAGTTTGAATATCGACTGTATATAAATTGGTGGAAGCCTGAATTTATGAACTTAAAAAAAAAAGGAAAAAAGCGGGGAATGGCGAAGGTAAAGGAGAAAGAACCTTGGTGCCCTATTGTGACCTTCCCTTTTCCCTAACTCTTCAAATTTTTAAATCAGGACACAAGGGAATGCAAGGACTTAAAAACAGAAACTTGCAGCCTCAATAACTGGCCTTTCCCCCTTCCCCCCCCCCCTCCCCCCACACACCCACCAGGCACCCCCTTATTTCAAGTTATGGATCTCTCCGTGTATTAGAGTAGGAGAGTGAGAGTTTGTAAACTATTATCCAAGATGGCGTCTTTTCGTAATTTTGCAAATTAATATAAAGGCAACATGCTGCATAAAAAATGGGTTTTGATTCGACATTCTGCCAAGAAAAGCCTTTAAATGCTGCTGGTAATGTAGAAAAAATATTTTAAAAGTCTGTTTGTGCCTTTTATTTTTCTAATTCTAAGCTGCTGGATGTCCTCCTCTAACAAAGTCATCTCGATATTTGTTTCCTTTATTGGACTGATCACAATTGTAAGTGGCAACAGATTGAATTTCTTCAATGGATTTGAGTTTAGTCATCTAGAGATATTTGTTTCAAAGTTGATTACAACAGCAACCTGACAATCATTTCTGGGCTCTTTGAATAGGAGTGAGTCTGAGTCTTTGAAAGTCGTCTTTAAAAAGTTATAACATAAGCTAGTGCAACAAACATATCCGATATTTCATTTTTTTTTTCTCTTTTCGTATTCTCCATCTTCTTTTATTTTCTATTTTAATCCCTGAAGATTAACACGATGATCCTCGTGCGAGCTATCAAGGAAGTTACAACAATCCAACAGGTGAAGGATAGCCCGACTGAGCAGATCAGGTGGGATGATAATAGTTACTTCTCCCGCCTCTTAAATGCCTCCATAATGTCGATCAACAAAAAATCTCATATAATAGCTTGTTACAAACTGAAAACTGTCCTGGACTGATAGGCTATGGATGACACCCTGGCACATAAAATATAATGCGTTTTCGATGGACGACCTTCAAACTGCTTCTGTCTCTCCCGACATTATAACACGGCTATTCATTGCCTTTAATTTAAGCTATGAGTTTTCAATCTTTCCTCAGTGTAGCTTGAGGGAAAAAGATTAAGAATTCGGATGAACGCTTGTGTTTTCAAAGTGACTATTCCTTTGGTCTCTTCCAGGCTTGGTGTTCGTGCATACGTGGTGTTTGCTCCATTGCTGGGTGTCACCTGGCTAATTGGCTTCCTTGTACCGTTACACATCGCCTTCTCCTACATTTTTGTAATCCTTAATTCCACTCAGGTAAATTCATCTAAAACCTTTAAAGTTTGTTGAAGCATTTGGCTGCTCATGGGTGGATATAAGAACATACTTACAACGTAATAAGCGTCAGAAATACTGAAAAGCGTCTCCATATCAAAGGATAATTCAGATTCACTTTTAGACGCCAGACCCGTGACCCTCCCTAAAGAAGCCGACTCGAGACCATTTCAGTCTTCCTTTTGCACTTGTATCTTTATCTACAAAGACTTAGTTTTACTTAATTATGATATTGGAGTCACCATAAACCGATTGCATCTGACGGATAGAATTGTACTCGGGAAAATAAGCCTCAGCTGAGTAAACGATTATAGCTGATAAGGAAAGGAGACCTTCGGCTGAGTTGTTCTAAAAGACACAACCCTACACTTACGACAAAAAAAAAAAGAAAGAAAAAAAGGAAAACAATTAAAAAAAAGTGGAAGCTTCTTTCATTTCTGCAGCTATTTGCTTATTTGTTTATTTATCAACCAATAAAGTTTATCTATATTTTGTTGTAGGGATTCTTCATTTTCTTCTTTCACTGCTTGGGAAATAGTGAGGTAAATATAAATTTTGAGTCTCCGTAATTCTTATAAAGAAAAGCTGGTTTCATTTAATGAGTGCCTGTTATTTGACTTTGAATTCCTATCTAGATAAGGGGACGTTTCAAACGAAGAGTCCAAAAAATCCACCCGAGTGCATTTAATCAAAGGCAAGGTGACAATAGAGGAAACTCTCAAGCTCGTCAAAATCACAATGACACTGGGATTCCTGTGCGGGATCGAGAGTAATCAAGGGACTTTGAACTTTGGTCTTGCCAATGGAATGGGAGAATACTAAATGCATTTATAACCAGCTTCACTTATGTTGCTTAGGCTGTAGCTGATTCAAGTTAATTCAAGTTGTATTTGTACTGTTTTTTTTGTCCAGCTGCCAAGAAATTTTCTTAACCACAGACTTAGCTTTTTTAATGATGTCTAATCACATTAACCTGGCATCGTTGGCATTTTAGAATAATTATTTGTCTAAGAATCAAATTGCCAGAGAATAACAGTTTATGATAAACTGATTAATCATTTAACCGGTAATCAGACCTGAACTGTAGAAATTAATTTTGGCGCAATTAAAATTTATCAAGTACACAAATAAAGTTTGAGGTATGTAACAATTAACTGCATAGTGGAAACTTCAGTTTATTTCATGACGGTTGATCTTGGTGAGTAGGTTATCATCTTTAACTTGACATCTCTACTTCCTAATTACCACCCGTAGCTAAAAGCTCACCGAAAAGAAGCTGCTCCTTATGGTTAAAACCCCCTTATAATCAAAGCCATAATTTATGAATGGATCGCATTTAGAGAGATTTGCGTATTCCCTGCAGTTTTTTGGAGTACGAGTTCATATTTTCTATCATATTCCTTCAACGAAAAACATTTTGTGACTGCTTGCCTATCCGAAGTTGCGGCATATCATTAATACGGACAACATGAAAAGAACAAAACAAACCAATACTTTCAAATAAACTTTTTCGGTGAAAATTAAAAAAATAAAAAATAAATTTAAAAAAAAAAAAAACCGCAGATTTTAATGGATTATCGCTGCCTTTGAAGTAAAAAATGTCCGATCAATGTAATATATTCTTATGTGTAATGATATACCCCCTGGTATTTACCACCAATTTATTTTTGCAATTTAAACTTTTCGTCTAATCCTTTTTGTCATGTATAGTATTGAATTCAAATTGACTTTGTTTCGCAACTGTTTGACTTGTCGGATGCTACAAAGAGTTATTTTGCGTGACGTGCAACTACACCTGGTTAAGAAACAATAACTGTTGAGAAGTTCGTTCTATTCCATAAATACATACTTGGAAAACACACCCTACACGGCTAATGACCTTTTAACAATTACGGCGTTCTTTAGTGAACAGCGTTTAATCCTTTAACTCCCAAGATATCATTTGTAATTCTCCTTACAGTTTGCTATATAATGCTTCTGATTTTAATACTAAGAATTTGTTATTGGATCAGCTAATAATCCCCCAATTGATATTTTTCTTGGTTCTCATCACATGTCTTCTTGATTTTGTATAGATATTGTGAGGAGAATTTCTGTCTTGGTTACTCATGGGAATTAAAAGGGTTGAAAAAGAAAAAAAACCTCACGATTCCAATCTTTTTCCATAAAAATACCGACCCTTTCTACAATTATATGAAAAAATGAAACTCAGTTTTCCTAAATAGGTGGCGATTGAAAAATATATTTTCTCTAACTCTCGGAGTCTTGATCCTGATAAGCCTGTTTCTTCTACAACATGCACCATAGCTTGAGATTTGAGCGTTGGACTTTGAATCTTTGACAATGGAACTTAATTCAATCAAAAGCTTTTTAATTTTTGATGTGTCGGAAAAACAAAAACAAAAACGAAAACAAACAAAAAATTTATTCATTTTCTCATTTAAAAGTACATAATCACTGACGAGGAGCAGCAAGGTCTTGAATATTTTCGTGGAATAAAAGAAACAAATCTTAAATTATCGCGATGTGAGGCCTTTACTGTTATCAAATGAGCAATCAACCTTCATTACGTTCCAAATTAACTTGATTTATTTTTACATCTTAAAATAGCAGGAAAAGCAACACCAGTGCTAATCTGTAGCAAATCTCTGAGAAAGGGAATTTTTCACCGATGACGATAATCAAATTATGATTCAGTTATCCCACATACTATTAAGTAAGGATAGGATAGAAAACCAGCCATAAGGAGCTCATCTGAAAGGGAAAATCTCCAGCACAAGAACACACCCATTATTCATAATTACGCAGAGGGAGGGGTGACGATAGGGTTTTGTTACAACATCATTTACATGATCTTTTAGAAGGTTTTATATATTTTTATGACACTCCACTACTTTCGTTGGCAGTCCTCTGGAAGCTTTCTCCCTCGTTTTATGCTATTGGAGACGACTCGTCCTCCCGAAAGCCATGTGACCCCCCAAAACCCCAATCCTCTACCCCCAGCCTATAGTTAAAGCCAAAGAAGCCAGCAGAGACCTGTTCATTTCGTGAGGGCAAGTCGAGTTACAAAATATAGCAATCGGAGTGGAGGGGGGAGGGGTGGGAGCCATAAAGACATAAACCGCCTTACTCATTCAATTTTGATACATTAGGGGGATTAATGGTGCTTTAGCTTATGTATCTCTCTTGTCTTTTTTCTTAGCCTAAGAGTGATAACATTCAGTTAAAGAGCAAAGAGCAAGCTCTTGTGAACTGAAAGTGTTCCAATATTGATCTTTCGGGATTTGTATGTGTCTGCTGTTCATAGCATAGCTCGCTATTCTTATTTATACAGCTGATTAGACCTTGACTCCCATTAATTAAATCCTTTACAACTTACGATTCATTCGTATTTTAAGCTTTACCCAAGCGAACGTTGAGATCATGATATAATTAGCTACCAGACTTCATTAATCAATCTTTTCCTAGATTGTTTAATTACGTAAGATTTTTTCTTTTTCTTTTTCTTTTTTTTTTTTTTTCTTTTCTTTTTTCTTACTTTTTTTCTTTCTTCCCTGCACAACCTACTAAGACCGGAAAACCAAACAACAGTCCCGAACCCGCCAACGATTTCAAAGCTTCTGCGGTTTTACCTTATGCCCGTACCAAGACCTCCGCCATTTCAGAGCATGCCCACACCGGACACAAGCCACTCTGGAGCGAAGTAAAGTTTATTGATCGTGAACCTTATTACTACACGCGCAGGTTCAAAGAGGCAATTCATATAAGGCTTTACCCTGACATCATCAACAGGAATAGTGGAATAAAAATCCCAGAAGCGTGTATGCCCCATGAAAAAAAACACAACAACTGGAGAGCCGTACGAAAGCGGACCGCCGAGGGAGCAAATCACTGAATGAAACAGCAAGGGTCGATAATGGCCGTATATATAATCCTCGTCTCTTACCTTAAAGAAAGTAAATAAAAACGGGTGAAGAAGTCACATAAATGGAAACCAAAAATTGTTGCAAAGAATTTAACTCTATGTGAAATGTTGTCTTATTTTGAAGGAGCATCGATATTGGTAAAATAATAGCAGGAATAATATAAGTGGTTTATGGAAGTTGACACAAGTGGGCTGTCGGAGACTTTAAAGTTCATAGGGTTTATTTTATTACCTAGGGTTAATCCTCTATTGTTGAAGGTAGTTACATGGGAACGAGGGGGATATCCCTAAATTTTGCTTTAAAGGTATTGTGAAATATTTTATCGAATACGAGTTGTAAATAAAGAACTTGAGCAAAACTACGCGGAAACAACGCAGCATGATTATTTGCTACGAATATCAAAATATATTTACTTTAGATGTTGACAATAGACTAAAGAATTCATCCCAATCACGATGTGCTAAATACCTTTATTTCCTTATTTCATTACATGGTGCAGTTCCCACAAATATCCGGCAAGTTTTGATGAATTCAATTTATCGCCATTCTTTTAGGGCCTTGGTTACTTTCTGTAGTGTATGGCGAGTTTAAAGGAGTGTTTGCATGTTGCGTGTTTCCAAATCCGTTTTAATCCAGAATTCATTCGCCCCTCAGTATTTTAAGCTTTGCCCAAACGAACGGTGAGCTAATGATATTATTGCCTACTAGACTTCACATATTTTTTTCTTAACTCGTTTAATCACGTAACAGTGAAGCCTTCTGTATTCCCTACCAATTATAATAGATTCAATGCTTTGGCAAATTTTCCGTTCATTGCAATTCTAAAGCGCAAGCTGATTTACTTGGTGCTTTGAAAAGTGTTTGTGAGTTTCGTGCAATAAAGTTATGTTTGTCAGTAAAGCCTGTTTGCTTCGGTAAGATCATGTTAGCAGTTATGCAATAACAATAACATGGTGCGTTCGGGTCAAAAGAGAGTTTATGGTGTCCAAAATTCACAGCTGTCTGGTAAGAGTGGGATAGGCGCTATAAAAGGGTGTTCTTGACTGCGATTTGACATTGCTGTATTTTTGTGGAATACTGTAGTAGCAAAAAAAGTTTTACAACTGCAGAGAGGTTAATAAACAGCTCTATTAAATGCCAAATTAGAAATAGAAGGAGGACTTGGCTAAAATAGAGTGTATGGGTATATGTAATCTACATGTTTGGCGGAAGGAATAAACCATTCCCCACACCAAGCGAAAAGTTTTGGATTCAAGCCTTAGTAGTAGCAATGTTTTTTTTTTTTTCAATTGTTTCTTATTTTCATTTATTCATTATTTTTTAGTGATATCGAAACAAAATTAAAACGTTTATTATTCTTATTCTTCTTCTTATTATTATTATTATTATTGTTATTATTATTATTATTATTGTTATTATTATTATTATTGTTATTATTATCATTATTATTGTTATTATTATTATTATTATTATTATTATTATTATTATTTTTCTCAGAGAGCGCGGTAACGAATCCCGCATTCTGATTGGTTCTTGGTGCGGACCGGATCTTCTTATGTCTGCCCACGTGAGTCATGAGTCGTGGGTCGCCGAGTACATTTCTAGCTTCGTTGCCATTTTCATAAATATAACTCGTTTTGCCGGTTAGACATATTTTCAAGGAAAGTATTTTCAAGCAATTCAAGCCGATTAATTACTTATTAATCGTCTCTTTTCTCTCTCTTAAATCACTTTGGATGCTAGCAACAAATTGTTTTAAAAATGAATGTCACGGAAAATTGTGTAAGTTAAGTCCTAGAACGTTCTACAGAACAGTTTAGAACCCGAAGTCAACCAGACGTGACCCTCTTGTATAAGAACATTCTGGAACGTTCTATCTCTTATGTAATTACTCAGACTTAAGGACTGTGTTTATCCACAAAATTTAGTTCTTTTGAGACGTTTCTAGATCCTTGTACTTAATGTATACAAGAGCGACAGTTTCATCAAAAGACAGAGAGAATTGTGAAGAAGCTCAGTGCTGTAGAGTCGAGAAGTCAATTACGTGGAAATAAATCAGTTTGTTGCTGTTACCGACGATCCTGAGTTTTAGTCCAGGAACAACCCTGCTCTACATCGACACTCGTAACAATGAATTTGTCGTCGCAAATGTGATATTATAAAATTGGTTGAGAGGCGGCTTAAAAACCGTTTCTAATTGAATTTAATCTTTCACCAGTTCATAGAGTTAAAACCGCGAGGTATTTGTTGACAATAGGCCACTTCCGAGTTTTTACGGTTCAGGAATCTTGTACTGAAGTTACGGCGCAAGAACGAGACTAAGTGCGAAGTCGTTCTCGTCGGTATACTGAATAAAGTGCTGTGGTGGTAAAAATGAAAGAAAATTTCTCGAAATTCAGTGTGGGAGAGTGAAAAATTATTTTGGGGGGAGAGGCATCCAGCTAGGTAGTGGCGGCAAAGAAAAGACAAAAGAAAAACCGTTCGATTTGTGCAAGAAAGCTGCAGTGATCAAGCAGATCCAACTAGCTACTTATGCTGAAGACCGCAAAAGCTGTTGGCGGAGAAATTACAAACAAGTCAGGGCAAATTCACATATTACGCCGTTATCTAACTACCGCAAATTTCTGGTTCCTAAAACTTTCGATGCTTGGATGCTTAACCTCTGTAACTTTCCAGAGTTTTCGTTCGGCGTCCACGTGCAGCCTGGCCAAACCTGGCCTCAGTTTCTTATTGTTATCATTTAATCGTAGCTGTTTTCTTTCTGATTCGTAGCAAGAGCTTACTGTAATTTGCGAAACGATCTGAACGAAACAAATTGGAAATCCTTTACCAGCGAAATCAGCTCAAAATCTGCAATTAGCAAAATTGCGAATTGAAAAGCTACTTAGCATATAACATTTGAAACATAAAATGAACATTCTTCTGATTTCATTCCATCTTTGAATATTTTTGGTTGTAAATAAGGGCAATGGCAGGAGGAATGTGTGACATTTCTAGTTCAAATAAAATGCCATGTCACGCATTCGAATTATTCATCGTAAACGCTCAAGTGAACATTTTGCTAAGTATACCAGGAAGACTTTCCTTTCGTTCTTTCCTAAGTTGTTATTATTTGTAAGGCTATGAATGTAATCCACGGTGGTAGTGAACTGACCGATTCATCCTGGCCGTTAGTGGCCTTAAGTTGTCTACACTTCTAATATTGTAAATTACAGATCTACATATTTTCCATTTCACAAATTAGACATTTCCATTTTAAAAATTATAGAGTTTGAGTTCATTCAACAATCTACAGGTGTCAATTTCGTTTGACAAACTACGATTTCGTTTCGTAAGCGACAGAAAGCCCTCGCTACGGTTAAATAATTACATCGACACAAGTGAGGTACGAACGAGAACTCTGGAATGTTAGAAAAGTGGTAAGTCCAAGCATGAAAAAAATTTTGGTGATAGAAATTTGCCCTCAATTGTTTGTAATTTCTCCTCCAACAGTATTTTGCGGTCTTTGGCACAAGAGGAAATTTTGATCTGCTTCATTACTGCAGCTTTCTTTCATAAATCAAACAGTTCTACATTATTTTTTCCTTTGCGACATCTCTTCACGTGATGCCTCTCTTGCAGATAATTTTTTAGGGCCTGTTTCCATGTAGGTGGGGGACCCCAGGTGGGTGAGGTAACCCACTTAGCCGTGGTCGAAAAATAAAACGCGTTTACCTACAATCTTACAACCCCGGAGTGCTGGGGTGAGGTTTGTTGAGGTTTTTGTTGCGCTTACAATTAGGGAGTTTGAACATAGGCGTCCCAACTTCAAATCTCGAGAAAGACGAAAGATTAATTCTCAGACACGTATGTATTTATTCATGAAAGCGTCACGCGTTGTGTTACGCGGTGTTAGGCTACGCGAGGAACCGTTGACTTAATACGTTATAAGGCATAGTTTGAAATATAGTCGATTTACAACGCTAAATATTCCAAAATGTGAACATTTTACACTCCTTGTATGGCCATTATGGTTTCTAGTGATTTCTGCCACGAGACAGCCAAGAAGTGTATACAGTTTTAAAACGTGTTTCGCTTTTGAGCTTTTTGCCATGAAAGCGACCCCGGCTATGCGGGTTACCCCACCTTGAGACGTTTACATGGCAAATTGTCACCCCGGCTGGCAGGATTACCCTAACCGGCAGACCGGGCAACCCACCCAGGTGAGTCACCCCACCCATCATGTAAACGTGATCAAGATAAAACAAGAAATTATATGGACAGGCAGGTTACCCCACTTTGGCGAGTTACCTCACCTACCTGGGGTCCCCCACCTCCATGTAAACAGACCCTTACTCTCCCACTATGAAATTCGAGAAATTTTTGCTCGTTGTCAATTTCAATTTTAATGTTTGCTCGTTTGAGTAGAAGTGATCAAACCTCTTTAAAATTCCCAATTTAAAGTTCAAATATCATTTGACATTAGTCCTTTCGTATGATATAATTTTGATTTTACGCTTCATATCTCCTTGGCTTTTATTTCATAAGCAACTGGAGTAACAGTCGTTACAGCTCAACCAACCCATCATACTACAGTAAGATATTTGATCGATTCTTGATTTCAAAATAAGTTTGACACGACTTTTGGGGTCGCAGGAAGTAACCATAACAGTTCAAATTTTTCTCTTTTTGAAGCAGGGTGAAAGCTACCCAAGTAATGTTCCTAATTCCGGAAACAACAGCCTTTCGTTAGATGAAAGTGTACCTGCAGATACACCGCTTATCTCACCTAACGTTCTGTTTGTTAGTTTGTATTTTATTTAATTCACTTTTGATTAATTGGTTATGATAAATTAATAAGATGACTATTCTGTTGTTGTTATTTGTGTTTGGGTAAGTGTTTGTGTTTTTTTTGTTTTGTTATGTTTTTTGGTTTTTTTCGCCGCTTGATTGGTTGGTTTACCGCTTGATTAGTTGCAAGTTTGCCATATTTAGTGTTTGACAATTTATCATTTTGGGGGCGCTTCTCTCATACTATGTTTGTCTTAAATGCAACAAAAATAGCGAGAAGCCACGATATATACCCAGATTAGCCAAAAAACATCGTTCAGAAAAAGGGCAGTCGCCAAACCTAAGGATCCTGTCACGAAGAAACAACGAACCGACGCCATTTATTCTATTCCTTGCAATGACTGTGACAACGAATACATCGGACAGACCAAACGTCAGTTTGATACATGGTCAAAAGAGCACCAAAAAGAGGTTTTTCTTCGCAAAAAGGACAATTCAGCTTTATCGGAGCATACATGCCTAACCAACCATACAATTGGGTGGGAAAATTCTAAAATTATCACCGCTAATCGGCGTTACCACCAGCACCTTTGTTTGGAGGCTTGGCATATTAACTCCGCCCACGCTCCTTTAAATCGTGTCGATGGCGGTTTGCTTCCTGACGCCTATTTACACCTCGTCAGAAAAAAGGCCGCTAATTAGTGATCATATAAAAGGATCTCTTGTTGCAGCGTTTAGATCACCCCTGATGAAGGCACTAGGCAGGAGTGTCGAAACGTGGGGTCTATGAATTGTAACTTCTTCAGTTACTTTCATTAAATTTGCAAACCAGAGTAGCATCAAACTATGTCTAAGCGGCGGAAAGTTACAAATCGCGAATTTACTAATGTCAATGAAGATCTGAGTAAGTGCAAAAGAGCGTTCCTTTTTTTTTTTTTTTTTTTTTTTTTTTGGTATGTTTCGTAGGGCAAGCATTATAAGGAAAATTATTATCTCTGTTCGTGTGCAGTACCACCGTTAATCGTTGCTTGCAATTTTATAGTCTGGGAAATAATTGCGTGTAAAATCACAGGTTGGAGGAAATGCAACTGAATAAATTCTAGTCGTGCGGGTCATTGCCTATGCTGAGCACTTACTTGCAGATATACTCTGCAGGCGAGTGAAAATACATGTCGACGTTGTGCCATTTGCATCACATAATCTTCTTTTTCATCAATAAAGACTTTCGAGTCAGACGCAATGTCCCCCGGAGTGATGACTTTCTGTTCAATGGAATCAATCGGGAGAACTTTATTAAGATTCCCTCAGCTTATCTGGATCGAAGTAAAAACCCCTAGTCAGTTTGAGTCAGCTTCTTTGAAGATATTGACGATTGCCCATAATTTTCTGGCCACCTCTTCAGTGGAAATGGCTTCACTCTGACGTGCATTACCAAATTTGCAATATGCACGAAGTGTGTGTTAGCTACAGTGAGGTCTTGGTTTGTTTGTTTTTTTTTTTCCGCTCCACCTTAGTCCAAATCGGTTTCTGTTTTCAAATTTTTTGAGTCTCTTATTTTTTCCTTTTTTTTGGGTGTCATTACAAGGAAAGCTTATGCTTTTTCAAAAAAATTGAATATCGTGCTTTTTCGTGACTCAGCTGTCTGTAACGGCGTTAGTGCTCAGAGCATTTAAGGCCATGGTCGTTTTTCAAAAAAAAATTGCATCTTTGGAAACCGAAATCAATGCAGTTCTCATTTACCTTTTTAACAGACTCCACAGTACTTGGGCTCGAATACAGAAGCCTTTTTAAGGTTTTTTCAAACTACACAGCTGATACTCAGGAAGACAACAGAACAAAGTATGTGTATTTTATTTCAATAAATGAAAATAAAATAGAAGAAAAAGTATTTTACTTTTTTGTGATTATTCATCAATCTGCTTTATTTCAGGATACTTGGCAATGTAATTATGTCCACCATAATAGACCCTCCGCCTAAAGCTCTACTAGAAAACGTCACATTGATTTTTGAGAACATGAAGGTGTATACGCCTCTCTTTAGTTATCTGTTTACTTTTTATTTGATTGGCGTTTGCTGGTTATTTTGTTTGTTTATTTCATGAAAAGGGAACACCAACAGTTCATTCATCCCTTGTATGGGCGACTATGTGGTCATCTTTTGGCTCAACTTAAATTGAGATGTTAAGACTAGCGAACGATTTCATGACTGCTCAAGACTTGATTAGTAAATCAACATTACATCCCATTAGGCTCCCCGCTTATTTTCAAATTTCGTCACCTCGAAGCCACCACAAAGGGAGGGGTGGGGACTATCAGACACCGACGGCCTTCCTAGATTTTATATCAGAGACTTGAGGAATTCGAATCAAAAAATGAATTAACAAATTCGTTTTTGCTGAATAACAAATTTTGACCTCGTTCATGGAGTAGACCCAGGGACTTTCATATTGAGAATACTATTCAACTTGGAGGGTTACGTTAGTATTCTATAACTATGACGCCTTACTAATCAGCAACTAGTAAGGCATCACCGAGGCAAGCGCTGAAGCCTCGCTATACTACCCCTTAAATCACAACACTTGATTCTTTTTTTCCTTTAGGCGAATCGTAAAGAAAGAACCTGTGTATTCTGGAACTTCTCTGAAAAAAAGTAAGCACCACTGTAACATAAATTTTATAAATGGCGTGAATTCTTCCAATTTTTCATCGGTGCTAAAGTTATCTAAGCGGATTCTAAAAATATCCGAAATACTTTTTAGCGTTTAGCAGAGTGAATTGAACATATTTCAAGTGGACGGAGGAAGGGGTTTCAAATCGAATAAGTTATTTTTAAATTATTTTTTAAAGCTTTGGGAGTTGGTCAAGTGAAGGATGTCAAACAAAGACGACATCTGATCATCATGCGGAATGTGTTTGCAATCATCTCACCCACTTTGCTGTGCTCATGGGTTTCACCGACAATGCTGATGACGGGAAGGTGAACATTTTTTTTTCTACAAAATCAAACTGTATGGATCTAAAAAGGTACATAGAGGCATGAAAAGTATCGCATTCATTTCTATTTATTAAAACAGACATTTCCTTTAATACAAATACAAGAATTATGACGTTTACAGTTTTTCAATCAGGATAAAACTCGTTCGTCAGATGAGCATGACAAAATACTGACACTTCTCACTCGAGTAGGAATGGCTTTATCTCTCACTAGAGTAATACTCACAATTATCAGCTATCTTCAGCTCACGTAAGTACATTTAAGTAACACAGATGTCCAACTGAATTATGTGTGATAAATTAACCATTTTAAGAGAACAGAAAATAAGCTATCGGATCAGTACTGGATCGATGTCAGCGCGGAGTGCTCGTATCTGGAAAAAAAATTAGACGTTCTTGGATGATCTTTCTTTAAAACTGATACATCGTCAAGGTGTGAAAATAGCTTCATATAAAGCTTTCGTCTAAAGTAAAAACTTTCTAGTCAATATTCTTTATCCATTCGTTAATCAGTAATTAATTCATGTACCCTCCATTTGGTGGATCATTTGCAATTGTGTTTGTTATGGTTTCCTTTGCAGTTCATTGACCATAGTTTTGTTTTTGTTGCTTGTCGAGGGGATTTATATCTACTTATTTGTTGTAAAGGTTTACAACATTACCGACAAAATACATCGCTATCATGGCTTTTGCTGGGGTAAGTAGCATTGTGAAGAAATGCGAAAAATGGGATAGGACTTAAAGAATATACTTGAGGAAATATCTCGATTCTGATTTGCCAAAACCAATACAAACAAAAGATCATAAGATGACATTGTTTTATTAATTCTTTAAATGAACCATTGAATTGTCTTGAGGTGTACTTTAGTTAATCGTAAAATATTTCCAGTGCTTGTTAGAGCTAGCTATAGTTGCAAATTTAGTTGGCTGAAATCACGCAGCTATGTCTAATTTGCAGTGTTTTAGCAATTTCATACCCACAACTTATGTTGCTTAGGTTGTAGCTGATTCAAGCTAATTTAAGTTGCATGTATGCTTTTTTTTTTCTTTTGTTGTTGTGGTTTTTTTTTTTTTTTTTTTGTCCGGCTGTCGAGTCATTTTCTCAACCCCAGGCTTGGCTAGGTTGGTGACATTTAACCACACTTACGTGACATCGTTGGCATTATATGGAATAATTATTTGTCTTAGAATCAAATTATCCAAGAATACCAGTTTATGATATACTGATTAATCATTTAACCGGTAATCAGGTCTGAACCATAGAAACAATTTTGGTGCTTTTTTTTTTTTTTTTTTTTTTTTTTAATGCACACAAATAAAGTTTATAGTATATAACAATTGACTATATCGTAGAAAATTGTTTTAACTACAACATACCTGAGAAGTGATCGTCATTTATCGTCAGGGGGAGGAGGGGGTTGGGGTGCAGGGTGCGTAGAATGTTGGTTTCTCTGTGTCACTATGAGATTTACTTAATTTTTCCGAAGGCTCCACGATGTTTCATTCCCTCACTCCCCCTCCCTTCTTCATCGGCAGTTTATAGAGAGTCAATTTTCAATAGCCTTTCCTTATTACTATGTTGGCGACCACTAATCGCCTCCATGTTGCCCCTGAAAACCTAGTGTTTCCCCACACATATATCTCTAGCTTCCATCCACCAACATTTTAAAAACAACGCAAATACATGTATTTGCTCAATTGCGCTCGTGTCAAAGATCGCTTGCATAATTCTGAAAATTGACCAAGATCTCCTTTTGACCGTCCAAACTTCGTTCGTTTATCTTCTATGTTGGGGATTTTATGTTTTCGAAACAACTGAATGGAGAATAGATGCCGAGTTGTCCTAAAACGTTGCGTAAACATGATCGGTGGTAACGCTCGCGCGCTTGCGTGACTAAAAAAAAAAAAAAAAAAAGAAAAAGGAAAAAAACACACGCTTGTTTTTGAACTGACTAAAAATTTAGGCATTAAATTTCCTTTGGTGCGAGACTCGAGGATTTTAAACCTTTGGAACGACGTACGATGAATCCTGGAAACTGGAGTTTAAGTCCATTGGCAAGATATGCCGGCTGGTCTCATGAGCAGATCAAGCGCTGACAAAATTTGACAGCTTTGAAATTTTAAGCGGATGCAAAAAGCGAGACAAAAATCTGTCATGACACAATTTGTCCTTTGACCATGTCAAAAGAATTCTGGTTTTTTCTGCTAGTGCAGATAGCCCAGATTGGCACTTACGAATAAACTTTGAGTTAAATAATAGCCTTCACTCTCGAGAAATTGCAAATATATTACTCATGTGATCCGACTACAACTTTAATTCCGAGAACTTCGAAAACATCTCTAGTCAGTCTGGCTTTCTTTCACTGCCTCACATTTTTCCTTGTACTGCGGGTGTCAACTAGTACTTTCACTTGGAACATGCTAATAACTGTTTCATTTTTTCCATATCAACATTTTAAAAGATAAGATCATCATAAAAATGTAAAGTTCTTCCATTCACTTTAATACAATGTAACTTTCGATTTTAATTCGTTACATTGACTAATTTGGTTTCAATTCGTGGAGCCCGCGAAACAGGTAAAATAAAAAGGGGAAAATTTACACAATCTCGTCACGCAATACATCAAACTGGGTTTGTCCAGTTGATTTTGATGGTCGCAAGGAAATGCCGAATTTATCGCTCAAAACCGTTTTGGCCCACAACAGCGTAACTCCATTAGTGATTGAAACAAATTTGCAAAAAGTAGGGCTAGTTCATCGGGTTCCGTGTGCTAAATCTCGGGAGAAACTGCACAATTCTTTTAGAGAGTATGCGTGTTGTTTTGTAAATATAAACACTATAACGTATTTTATCTTGTTTGTTTGTCCTTTAAAGCAACGCAACAATGTCTGTAATGACCAGAGTGCCAAATTTTATTCTTTAATTTTTAATTTCTCCACACTTTACGTAGTTCATAATCTGATATTTCTACGTAAATTAACGAATCCTGCATTTTGATTGCTTCTTAGTGGGGTCCGGATTTTTTTATCTCTGCCCACGTGAGTCGTGGGTCGCCGAGTACATCCCTAGTTTCGTTGCTATTTTCATAAATATAACTTGTTTTGCCGGCTGGACATATTTTCAAGCAATTCAAGCCAATTAATAACTTATTAATCGTCTCTTTTCTCCCGTTAAAATCACTTTGGATACTAGCAACTAGCTGCCTCTGCTAAAGACAGCAAAAGCTGTTGAAGGAGAAATTACAAACAGGTCAGGGCAAATTTCTGGTCCCTAAAATTTTCGATGCTTGGATGCAAACCTCTGTAACTTTCCAGAGTTCTCGTTGGGCGTTCAGAGTACATCACGAAGATTTTCTATTCGTTATTTCCCAAGTTGTTATTACCTTCAAGGTTACATACGTAATCCACGCTGTTAGTGAACTGACCGATTCATCCTAGCGGTTGGTGGCCGTTGTCTGCAATTCTATTGTTGTAAATTACAGATCTAAACATTTTCCGTTTCACAAATTACAGATTTTCATTTCGAAAGTTATAGAGTTTGAGCTAATTCAACAATCTACAGGTGTCAAATGTGTTTCGCAAACTACAGTAAATCCTCGGTACGGTTAAATAATGACACCAAAACAAGAGTGGTACGCGAGGTCTGCAATGTTAGAGAAGTGGTAGGACCAAGCATGAAAATTTTGGTACTGGAAATTTGCCTTCACTTGTTTGTAATTTCTCCTCTTACAGTTTTTTGCGGTCTTTGGTACAGGAGGCAATAGTGATCTGCTTCATTGCGATAGTTTCTTGCACAAATCAAACAGAGCGGCAATTTTTTTCCTTTGCCGCCGTCACTTCACGTAATGCCTCTCTCGCAAATCTATATTTTTTTTTACTCTTTCACTATGAAATTTCGATGAATCTTCGCTCGTTTCTCTACCACTGCACTCTATTCTTTAAACCGATGAAAGCGACTTCGCACTTAGCCTCGTCCTCAGGCCGTAATTTCGGTACCAGATCACTGAATCGCCAGAACTCAGAAGTAGCCTATTAAATTTATCGGTTGAATTTTCATTCATTGGATATCGGATCGAATTCTCTCAAACAATTTTTTCTTTGTAAAACGGTGAGCCGAGTATTCAGTCCCAATAAAAATAGCTTTCGGTAAGTCTTTGTAGGTCTGTTCAATTTGGTCATTTATACCATAAACTGCACAACAAAAACACAAGGAATTCAATGAGAAAAAGGCGCATCAAATTATCCTTTGGTCCTCATTTGACTAAAGTTTCTCGGTGAAAGAAAGACCAGATTTATCTATGCCATTGCAGCAAACAAACGAGCAAACTCTCACAACTTCTAAAGATGCACTTGAATTTACTTACAACTGCTTTCCTTGTCATTTACTGACTGAACAGAGGTATCTTTCGTACATCGATAATCGATGGAAGTGAATAATATCCAATATACGATCATTGGATGATTGTCATTCATTGAAGAAAAGATTGTCGTGACAGACATTGAACTTGAGTTTGTTTGCCAAAACGGTGCCGTTGTTATTTTCTTTCAATTTTGTGCATGCGCCTTTCATCTTCTGGCTCTCTATTTGACAGGTGTCAGATTGTGACAGATACTTGTAAAAAAGTGTTTCAAAAATTGTTTGAAAACCTTTTAAATCACCTTAAATATTACACAAAAATAGTTCGGTGAAGCTTCTCTCTTTAAATTGCAATACCTCTATTTAACTAGCATTTGTCTGTCTTGATTACCGCCTTCAACCTGAGGCCTCTAGCGGTACTCAAGATTTTGGGCACAGTTTTTCCGTTTGACGAATAACATAAACTGTTAAAAATTAATACTATTAATATCATTATTATTACCGTTATTGTTATTATAATTGTTTAATCTGTTTAATTTCATTTTGTTACATGTATATTTTACAATACAACATTTTCCTGAGAGCGAATCTACTGTAAACCATGTATGTATACCCAACTTACTCTAATTTACCCAAAAAGGTTTGAATAATAGTGGGTCCTAACTTGGGTGTTTTTTTTTTTTTTTTTCTATCGTCGCTGCCGCGATAGTTTAATATGCTGTTTGCAGATGATATTTTCTTTTCTTTTTTCTTTTTTTTTTTTTTTTTTGTAAGTGAAAGCCCTTTAATAAGTTGAAAGATAGCACATACCGTATTAATATGGAGTAATGCATTGCGTGCTAAATTATCGAGTCACGAAGGAGAATTGTAGAACAGATGGCCGGGATGACATGTGGATAAAAACATACTGGATGAATCATAGGCGCTTCAAGTGAATATATGTTTTTATGTCATTGATTCATTGTGGATGGATTGATAGAAACAAGAGTCTGCGAGTGAGACCAAGAGTCTTCGTGTGAGATCAGGAAGGATGAACAAAATACCCTATGGTTTCGGAGGCATAATTCATATTGCAACGTTCCTTCTTGGTAAGAATTATCTTACGCCGATTAATATTATCAGTATTTCGATTGACCCGATGCAGAGGCAACTATTAGTTTAAAGTTTAATTTGTTAATCGTTTATTGGAACGTCAAACAAAAAGAAGAAGGGGTCAAACGAAGAAAACTTTCTAACTTCCTCTGTCAAATTGTGTCAATTACTGACAGAATCTACACACTTAATTTGAAACTCCTTTAACAACAAAATTAAATAAGCAAAAATTAAACATTTGTGTTTTTATGGATCGGTACTGTCCTTCAAATTCAATTAATAATGAAAGGCAGAGTCAAAATATTAGACAAAAACTATGGGTTTTTGGTGTTATGCTAACGATCAAAGCGAACCTGCTACCGAAGCGGAACTTGCAGTAGTTTATCACGTCAAAAACACCAGTTCAAAGACAAAAATATTCAAATAGGTTTGTTTGTCGCAACTCATTTTTAACGGATACCGATCAATCTATATAAAATTTTGTTTAAGAGGATACAACGCTACTTAGCTAATTGCCGTTTAAAAGTGTCACTCAGTTGATCGCCTTTATTATTCCGCGAGACGCCGTGGGTTTTCGAAAAGGCAAGACCACATTTCCTTAGGGTGACACGATCGATCTGAACCACACGATTTTATATTGGATAGAAATAAGAAAACCAACATACAAATTGTTCCATGAAAAAAGAAATTATTTTAGAAGCAGTCGCTTTAATTTTTCTTTCGCTTTTCAGAATAACAATGTACTTTAGGAAAGCGCCGTGAACTGCGTCAACCAGATGTTATGACTCAAGCTTATAAACAGCCAACTTAAAGAATATACAACTTAGGAAAAGGCACAGTCTAACGATGCTTTTGGTTGAAAGAATTTCCTCATGATTATTCCAAAAAGAAAGGCTTAGAAAAGAGATCTCATTTTTCTCATGCAAATAAATGCATCGAATAAGCTTTATGCCTAAATACATGCTATTTAAATACGTGAGGCTTATTTCAAAGCCAAGATGACGAGCATCTTGGATGTAAATAAAATTAAAAACTTGCGCAAACTATACGATAAATGCATCGCAGTCAATGATTATTACTAGTTGTTATTGGTATCCTTTTCATTTAAGGTAACATTTCTTTTCCTTTCCTATCCTGTAGTTTTTCAAAGCGGCCGGGCAATGGCAGAACGAAGTAAGTTCCCGGTTATCAGCTGGCTTGAGCAAATTAAAAAAAAAAATTGAATGAATAAGATAATCTCAAGTGGGTTAATGGACTATTAACTATCCAATTCCTCCCACTTTGTCCAATAGCCAGGTGTTCATTTACTTTATTTCGCTGCGATGTTTATTTTCCTACAGATCATGAGTGTGAAACTGCCCCGTTCTTGAAGCAGAGTGAATGTAGTGGTTCCAACTGCAAAGGACTTCTCACGAGTAAATGGCACAGGATAAAATGCTTTCCGTTTCCAACCAGCCGTAGAAAAGGTCTATGCTCTAAATGGTGCAATGAAGGAGGGACATCGACTCAGCCTTGCTATAATGCATTTCATAAATATTCTTCAGATCAAATCTGTTTCAAAAACAGCGACGAAAAACTCAACTTTGAAGTAGTACACTGCAGATCTTTCGAGTTTAACATTAGGTTAGAATCGATGGTTTCAAGTGAGTATTTTCCTACACTTTTTCTGTTTGATCCTTTCTACTTTATTTTTTTACTTTTTCTTCTTTTTCTTCTGCTTCTTCTCATTATGATTGTTATCTTTATTATTATAATTGTCATCGTTATTATTATTACTATTATAATTTGTTTGAGATCATAACTCTTCTATGATTTTTTCACATTGGGATGCTAAGGGAAGAGAAAGCCAAAAAAACAATTTCGAGCCTCAATTCCGTTTGCCTTTAGCATAAGTATAACTGTTTAGCGATGCCAGTTATGTACTGTGTTTTTGCAGCACCTCATCAGTCTACAGAGGCAGGCGGACGGCAAGCTCATAATAGGCGTTAAATTTTGCTTACAATGTTGGCATTTGCCCAGTGTCTATTGTATATGGACTGGAAGTTTTTGATCCCGGATGTTCTCAACGAACTATGGGATTTCCAAACGATCGTGGCCTGCACTGATGATCACATGCAACATGTCTGTTTTTAACTGTTTATTAAATCGTTGTTAATTTTATACATCCTGAGTTGAAGTCCATTCGAAACCTCACATCTATAAGGTGCTCAAAATTCTACAGCCAAGAAGTGTAATTTGCAATTGAGTAGAAGAGGTCAAACCCCTTTAAAATTCCTAATATAGAGTACGAATACCACCAAGCGTCAGTCCTTTTGTTTGATATAATTTTTATTTCCCGCTTTTTATCTCCTAAGCTTTTACTACAGAAACAACTGGAGTAACAGACGTTACAAATCAACCAACCATCATTTCAGCCATCAAGGATGCAAAACAGCGGTTTAGATCTTCAATCCAAAGCATTCGGTTCGACGATTTAAAAAGGATTCCAATGGATCAAAAACTGGAGGATACTGTCTTTGCTGCGTTCATCTTTGAAGACTGTATATTAAGCACTGCCAGAAGGTGGCTGCACGCTACAAATCCCGAATTTATTGATGTCGATAAAGATCTGAGTAAGTGCAAAATAGTCTTTCCTCTTTTTCTCGGAAATGAGCTTCATCATGTATGTGTTCAGGCAAGCAATACGTGTATATTAAGAGCCAGCAGCACTATACTTTACATCAGCCACAAAATTCTGATATCTCTTTATCGGAGGCATGAACTGTGGCTTTCAATTCCATTATCTGGGAATGACTGCATGCAAAATCATGAGTTGGGGGAAATGCAACTGAATAAATTCTAGTCATGCGGGTCATTGCCTGTGCTGAGCACATGCAGTTTTACTCTGAAGGCAAGTGAAATATATGTTGACGCTGTAACATTTGCATCACATATTTTGCTTTTTTATCAATATAGACTTTCGAGTTCGACGTAATGTCCTTCAGAGAGGAGATGACTTTCTGTTTAATGGGAGCAATCGGGGGAACTTTATTAAGATTCCCTCCGCTAATCTGGATCAAGGTAAAAACCCTTCCTTGGTTTGAGTCAATTTATTTCAAGACAATTGCCCATAATTTCTTATTCAACTCTTCAGTGGAAATGGCTTCATTCCGAGGTGCAATACCAAATTTGCAATATGCACTAGTGTGCACTTAATACAGTGAGTTCTTGTTTTCTTTTTCCCTTTTTCTCTCCATCTTTGTCCAAATCGGTTTCAGTTTTGAAATTTCTCAAGCCTCTTCCTTTTCTATTCTTTCCTCTTTTTTGGGTGTCATTACGAATAAACTTCATGCGTTTTGAAAAATTTTGAGTAATGCGCTTTTTCATGATTCAGCTGTCTGTAATGACATTGGTGCCCAGAGCATTTAAAAGCCATGGTCGTTTTTCAAAAAATAACTGCATCTTTGGAAACCGAAATCAATAGATTTCTCATTTCTCTTTTAAACAGACTCCACAGTACTTGGGCTCGAATACACCAACCTTTCTAAACTTTTATCAAACCATTCAGCTGACACTGAGAGAGACAACAAAACAAAGTATGTATATTTTATTTTGATGACTGAAAATGGAGTGGAAAAAGAAGCGTTTAATTATTTTTTGATCATTCAAGCTGTTTTTTTTTTCAGGATACTTGACAGTGTAATTATGGCCGCCGTAATAGACCCTCCACCCAAGGTTCTACCGGAAAACGTCACACTGGTTTTTAAGAACATGCAGGTATATACGCTACTCTTTCGTTATGTTTACCTTTGTTTTAATTGAATTGGCGTTTTCTTGTTTGTTTGTGTTTTTGTTTGTTTCATGAAAGGGAAACACCAATAGTCCATTCATTCCTTATTTGGGTGACTATGTTGTCATCTTTTCCCTCAGTTGAAACTAAGTTTTGATGACTGGCCCATAATTTGAAAACTGCTCGAGACTTGACTAATAAATGAGCATTACATCCCATAAGGCTTCCTGCAATTTTTTAAATTCGTCACCTTGAAGCCACCACAAGAGGGGGGAAGGGGGGAACTATCAGACACTGGCAGCCCTCCTCGATTTTACATCGAAGACTTGAGAAATTCGAATTAAAAGATAAATTTAAAAAGTTGGTTTTTGCTGAATAACAAATTTAGACCTCAATTATGGAGTGGTCCCAGACACCTCCATGTTGAGAATTACTTTTTAACTTGGAGGGTTACATTGATATTCTATATCTATGACGCCTTAACAGTCAGCTACTAGTAAGGCATCACCGAGGCGGGCGCTGAAGCCTCGCTATATCACTCTTTGAATCACGACACTTTATTTTTTTTCCCAATAGGTGAATCGTAAAAAAAGAGCATGTGTATTTTGGAGCTTCTCTGAAGAAAAGTAAGCACCACAGTAACATAAATTTTATAAACAGCATCAATTCTTCCACTTTTTCATCTGAAAGGAAGCTAAAAGTATCAGAAATCACTTAAAAGCAATTAGTAAAGTAAATTGAACTCTTTTCAGGTGGAGGGGGGAGGGGTTTCCAATCGAATTAGTTATTTTGACTCCTTTCTCCTTATCTGATTCTTTATAAAGCTTTGGGAGTTGGTCAAGTGAAGGATGTCAAACGGAGATGATCTCTGATCACCATACGGAATGTGTTTGCAATCATCTAACCCACTTCGCTGTGTTCATGGAATTTACCGACAATGCTGACGACGGGAAGGTGAATATTTTTTTCTATTCTACAAAAAAAGTCATACGGATTTAAAAAAGGTACATAGTGGCATTAAAACTATCGCATTTATGTTCATTTATTAATATAAACATTTCCTTTGATACAGCTAAAATAATAATGACCTTTACAGTTTTTCAATCAGGATAAAACTCGTTCGTCAGGTGAGCATGACAAAATACTGACACTCCTCACTCGAGTAGGGATGGCTTTATCTCTCACTGGAGTCATACTCACGATTATCAGCTATCTTCAGCTCACGTAAGTACGCTAACTTAACGCTGATATCTTACTGAATTGTGGGAAATTAACTATAAGGAAAATAAGTCATCAGATCAGTTCTGGATCGATGTCAGCACAGACCGCTTGTAACTGAAAAAGAAATCAAACGTTCTGGTATGATCTTTCTTTAAAAATGATGTCTCGACAAGGAGTGAAAATAGCTCTAGACTAACGTTAGTGTAAAATTGAAACTTTGGAGTCGGTATTCTTTTATCCATTCTATATTTTCTAAATAATTCATGTAAAAAACATAATTTGTCAGCGTATTTATTCATTCATTTGGTGGATCATTTGCAATTGTCTTTTTGATGGTTTCTTTTACAATTCCTTGACCTTAGTTCTGTTTTTGCCTGACTGCTAAATCAATTTCATTTAGTTGCTATTTATTGGCTTGTTTGTAGAGACAGAAATTCACCTTTGTGTCACATACGGGTTAGTCTGACTTCCTGCATTGGAGCAGGACATATCATCTTTTTCGCTGGAATAAACTCCACTGGAAACCAGGTGACTCATTGAACTCCTACTTTCGTGTTGCTCATTTAATATTGCTGTTCTTGTGATTGTTTGTTTTTTAACTTGGTCCAGCTTCTTTACGATTTAAAGACTGACTAATCTACCGAGTTATTCCTTTTTCTTGTTTTTTGTTTGGTTTGTTTGTTTCTTTGTTTGTTACTTTGTTTTTGTTTTCATGTTTTCTATGTTGTAGTTTTGTCTTGTTCTTTCTGTTTACTTTTGTTTTTGTTTCTTTCTGTTTTTTTCGGATTATAATTTCGGCAAATGTCATTAGTCATGAAAATTATTACATTTTTACGGATAATCTATTCCTTGCAGGCTGGTTGTGTAGCTGTGGCAGCTCTTATGCAGTATTTCCTGATGGCCAGTTTTTGCTGGATGCTTGTCGAAGGGATTTATATCTACTTTTTTGTTGTAAAGGTTTACAACATTACCGATGAAATGCATCGCTATCATTACTTTTGCTGGGGTGAGGAGCATTGTCAAGAAATAGCAAAAATGGGATAGGACTTGAAGAAATACTTGAGGAAATGTCTCGATTCTGATTGGCCAAAACCAAACCGAACAGAAAGATCTTAAAATGACTTTATTTTTTAATTCTTTAAATGAACACGCGTTTTTTTCGGAAATCATTGGAACGTCTTCAGATGTACCTAAGTAAATCGTAAAATATTTCTGGTGCTTATTAGAACTAGTTATAGTTGCAGATATAGTTGGCTAATATCACGCAGCTATGGCTAATTTGCAGTGTTTTAGTAATTTCATACCCATAATAAAAAGATTTCAAGAGTTAACAACAAAAAATCACAGTGAAAATTTATATAATCGCGTAACAACTTACCGTCAGTGGTTTATTAAAACCATTAACTTCTACAGTCATCGGCATTGGCTAACGTAATAACACTAGAACGCGAATATTTTTGCTGTAATGTCTTTCTTAAACTGGCAGCATTTCATCACTACTTTCCTCAGGACTGCCTGCAATCATAGTTGCTGTATCTCTGGTAATCGCTGCAGGAAATGATGGAATCAAAACTTTTGTCAATGATGAAAAGTAAGTTTGAATATCGACTGTATATAAATTGGTGGAAGCCTGAATTTATGAACTTAAAAAAAAAAGGAAAAAAGCGGGGAATGGCGAAGGTAAAGGAGAAAGAACCTTGGTGCCCTATTGTGACCTTCCCTTTTCCCTAACTCTTCAAATTTTTAAATCAGGACACAAGGGAATGCAAGGACTTAAAAACAGAAACTTGCAGCCTCAATAACTGGCCTTTCCCCCTTCCCCCCCCCCCTCCCCCCACACACCCACCAGGCACCCCCTTATTTCAAGTTATGGATCTCTCCGTGTATTAGAGTAGGAGAGTGAGAGTTTGTAAACTATTATCCAAGATGGCGTCTTTTCGTAATTTTGCAAATTAATATAAAGGCAACATGCTGCATAAAAAATGGGTTTTGATTCGACATTCTGCCAAGAAAAGCCTTTAAATGCTGCTGGTAATTTAGAAAAAATATTTTAAAAGTCTGTTTGTGCCTTTTATTTTTCTAATTCTAAGCTGCTGGATGTCCTCCTCTAACAAAGTCATCTGGATATTTGTTTCCTTTATTGGACTGATCACAATTGTAAGTGGCAACAGATTGAATTTCTTCAATGGATTTGAGTTTAGTCATTTAGAGATATTTGTTTCAAAGTTGATTACAACAGCGACCTGACAATCATTTCTGGGCTCTTTGAATAGGAGTGAGTCTGAGTCTTTGAAAGTCATCTTTAAAAAGTTATAACATAAGCTAGTGCAACAAACATATCCGATATTTCATTTTTTTTCTCTTTTCGTATTCTCCATCTTCTTTTATTTTCTATTTTAATCCCTGAAGATTAACACGATGATCCTCGTGCGAGCTATCAAGGAAGTTACAACAATCCAACAGGTGAAGGATAGCCCGACTGAGCAGATCAGGTGGGATGATAATAGTTACTTCTCCCGCCTCTTAAATGCCTCCATAATGTCGATCAACAAAAAATCTCATATAATAGCTTGTTACAAACTGAAAACTGTCCTGGACTGATAGGCTATGGATGACACCCTGGCACATAAAATATAATGCGTTTTCGATGGACGACCTTCAAACTGCTTCTGTCTCTCCCGACATTATAACACGGCTATTCATTGCCTTTAATTTAAGCTATGAGTTTTCAATCTTTCCTCAGTGTAGCTTGAGGGAAAAAGATTAAGAATTCGGATGAACGCTTGTGTTTTCAAAGTGACTATTCCTTTGGTCTCTTCCAGGCTTGGTGTTCGTGCATGCGTGGTGTTTGCTCCATTGCTGGGTGTCACCTGGCTAATTGGCTTCCTTGTACCGTTACACATCGCCTTCTCCTACATTTTTGTAATCCTTAATTCCACTCAGGTAAATTCATCTAAAACCTTTAAAGTTTGTTCAAGCATTTGGCTGCTCATGGGTGGATATAAGAACATACTTACAACGTAATAAGCGTCAGAAATACTGAAAAGCGTCTCCATATCCAAGGATAATTCAGATTCACTTTTAGACGCCAGACCCGTGACCCTCCCTAAAGAAGCCGACTCGAGACCATTTCAGTCTTCCTTTTGCACTTGTATCTTTATCTACAAAGACTTAGTTTTACTTAATTATGATATTGGAGTCACCATAAACCGATTACATCTGACGGATAGAATTGTACTCGGGAAAATAAGCCTCAGCTGAGTAAACGATTATAGCTGATAAGGAAAGGAGACCTTCGGCTGAGTTGTTCTAAAAGACACAACCCTACACTTATGACAAAAAAAAAAAAGAAAGAAAAAAAGGAAAACAATTTAAAAAAAAGTGGAAGCTTCTTTCATTTCTGCAGCTATTTGCTTATTTGTTTATTTATCAACCAATAAAGTTTATCTATATTTTGTTGTAGGGATTCTTCATTTTCTTCTTTCACTGCTTGGGAAATAGTGAGGTAAATATAAATTTTGAGTCTCCGTAATTCTTATCAAGAAAAGCTGGTTTCATTTAATGAGTGCCTGTTATTTGACTTTGAATTCCTATCTAGATAAGGGGACGTTTCAAACGAAGAGTCCAAAAAATCCACCCGAGTGCATTTAATCAAAGGCAAGGTGACAATAGAGAAAACTCTCAAGCTCGTCAAAATCACAATGACACTGGGATTCCTGTGCGGGATCGAGAGTAATCAAGGGACTTTGAACTTTGGTCTTGCCAATGGAATGGGAGAATACTAAATGCATTTATAACCAGCTTCACTTATGTTGCTTAGGCTGTAGCTGATTCAAGTTAATTCAAGTTGTATTTGTACTGTTTTTTTTGTCCAGCTGCCAAGAAATTTTCTTAACCACAGACTTAGCTTTATTAATGATGTCTAATCACATTAACCTGGCATCGTTGGCATTTTATAGAATAATTATTTGTCTAAGAATCAAATTGCCAGAGAATAACAGTTTATGATAAACTGATTAATCATTTAACCGGTAATCAGACCTGAACTGTAGAAATTAATTTTGGCGCAATTAAAATTTATCAAGTACACAAATAAAGTTTGAGGTATGTAACAATTAACTGCATAGTGGAAACTTCAGTTTATTTCATGACGGTTGATCTTGGTGAGTAGGTTATCATCTTTAACTTGACATCTCTACTTCCTAATTACCACCCGTAGCTAAAAGCTCACCGAAAAGAAGCTGCTCCTTATGGTTAAAACCCCCTAATAATCAAAGCCATAATTTATGAATGGATCGCATTTAGAGAGATTTGCGTATTCCCTGCAGTTTTTTGGAGTACAAGTTCATATTTTCTATCATATTCCTTCAACGAAAAACATTTGGGACTGCTTGCCTATCCGAAGTTGCGGCATATCATTAATACGGACAACATGAAAAGAACAAAACAAACCAATACTTTCAAATAAACTTTTTCGGTGAAAATTAAAAAAATAAAAAATAAATAAAAAAAAAAAAACCGCAGATTTTAATGGATTATCGCTGCCTTTGAAGTAAAAAATGTCCGATCAATGTAATATATTCTTATGTGTAATCATAAACCCCCTGGTATTTACCACCAATTTATTTTTGCAATTTAAACTTTTCGTCTAATCCTTTTTGTCATGTATAGTATTGAATTCAAATTGACTTTGTTTCGCAACTGTTTGACTTGTCGGATGCTACAAAGAGTTATTTTGCGTGACATGCAACTACACCTGGTTAAGAAACAATAACTGTTGAGAAGTTCGTTCTATTCTATAAATACATACTTGGAAAACACACCCTACACAGCTAATGACCTTTTAACAATTACGGCGTTCTTTAGTGAACAGCGTTTAATCCTTTAACTCCCAAGATATCATTTGTAATTCTCCTTACAGTTTGCTATATAATGCTTCTGATTTTACTACTAAGAATTTGTTATTGGATCAGCTAATAATCCCCCAATTGATACTTTTCTAGCCTACACGGCTAATGACCTTTTAACAATTACGGCGTTCTTTAGTGAACAGCGTTTAATCCTTTAACTCCCAGGATATCATTTGTAATTCTCCTTACAGTTTGCTATATAATGCTTCTGATTTTGCTACTAAGAATTTGTTATTGGATCAGCTAATAATCCCCCAATTGATACTTTTCTTGGTTCTCATCACTTGTCTTCTTGATTTTGTATTGATATTGTGAGGAGAATTTCTGTCTTGGTCACTCATGGGAATTAAAAGGGTTGAAAAAGAAAAAAAACCTCACGATTCCAATCTTTTTCCATAAAAATACCGACCCTTTCTACAATTATATGAAAAAGTGAAACTCAGTTTTCCTAAATAGGTGGCGATTGAAAAATATATTTTCTCTAACTCTCGGAGTCTTGATCCTGATAAGCCTGTTTCTTCTACAACATGCACCATAGCTTGAGATTTGAGCGTTGGACTTTGAATCTTTGACAATGGAACTTAATTCAATCAAAAGCTTTTTAATTTTTGATGTGTCGGAAAAACAAAAACAAAAACGAAAACAAACAAAAAATTTATTATTTTCTCATTTAAAAGTACATAATCACTGACGAGGAGCAGCAAGGTCTTGAATATTTTCGTGGAATAAAAGAAAGAAATCTTAAATTATCGCGATGTGAGGCCTTTACTGTTATCAAATGAGCAATCAACCTTCATTACGTTCCAAATTAACTTGATTTATTTTTACATCTTAAAATAGCAGGAAAAGCAACACCAGTGCTAATCTGTAGCAAATCTCTGAGAAAGGGAATTTTTCACCGATGACGATAATCAAATTATGATTCAGTTATCCCACGTACTATTAACTAAGGATAGGATAGAAAACCAGCCATAAGGAGCTCATCTGAAAGGGAAAATCTCCAGCACAAGAACACACCCATTATTCATAATTACGCAGAGGGAGGGGCGACGATAGGGTTTTGTTACAACATCATTTACATGATCTTTTAGAAGGTTTTATATATTTTTATGACACTCCACTACTTTCGTTGGCAGTCCTCTGGAAGCTTTCTCCCTCGTTTTATGCTATTGGAGACGACTCGTCCTCCCGAAAGCCATGTGACCCCCCAAAACCCCAATCCTCTACCCCCAGCCTATAGTTAAAGACTAGCTCGTAAAAGCCAAAGAAGCCAGCAGAGACCTGTTCATTTCGTGAGGGCAAGTCGAGTTACAAAATATAGCAATCGGAGTGGAGGGGGGAGGGGTGGGAGCCATAAAGACATAAACCGCCTTACTCATTCAATTTTGATACATTAGGGGGATTAATGGTGCTTTAGCTTATGTATCTCTCTTGTCTTTTTTTCTTAGCCTAAGAGTGATAACATTCAGTTAAAGAGCAAAGAGCAAGCTCTTGTGAACTGAAAGTGTTCCAATATTGATCTTTCGGGATTTGTATGTGTCTGCTGTTCATAGCATAGCTCGCTATTCTTATTTATACAGCTGATTAGACCTTGACTCCCATTAATTAAATCCTTTACAACTTACGATTCATTCCAATCACGATGTGCTAAATACCTTCCCTTCCTTATTTCATTACATGGAGCAGTTCTCACAAATCTCCGGCCAGTTTTCATAAATTGAGTTTCGTGCCATTTTTTTAGGGCCTTGGTTATTTTCTGCAGCGTATGGCGAGTTTAAAGGAGCGTTTGCACGTTGCATGTTTCAAAATCCATTTTAGTCCAAAATTCATCTACCTTCCAGTATTTTAAGCTTTACCCAAGCGAACGTTGAGATCATGATATAATTAGCTACCAGACTTCATTAATCAATCTTTTCCTAGATTGTTTAATTACGTAAGATTTTTTCTTTTTCTTTTTTTTTTTCCTTTTTTCTTTTCTTTTCTTTTTTCTTACTTTTTTTCTTTCTTCCCTGCACAACCTACTAAGACCGGAAAACCAAACAACAGTCCCGAACCCGCCAACGATTTCAAAGCTTCTGCGGTTTTACCTTATGCCCGTACCGAGACCTCCGCCATTTCAGAGCATGCCCACACCGGACACAAGCCACTCTGGAGCGAAGTAAAGTTTATTGATCGTGAACCTTATTACTACACGCGCAGGTTCAAAGAGGCAATTCATATAAGGCTTTACCCTGACATCATCAACAGGAATAGTGGAATAAAAATTCCAGAAGCGTGTATGCCCATGATCAAAAAAACACAACAACTGGAGAGCCGTACGAAAGCGGACCGCCGAGGGAGCAAATCACTGAATGAAACAGCAAGGGTCGATAATGGCCGTATATATAATCCTCGTCTCTTACCTTAAAGAAAGTAAATAAAAACGGGTGAAGAAGTCACATAAATGGAAACCAAAAATTGTTGCAAAGAATTTAACTCTATGTGAAATGTTGTCTTATTTTGAAGGAGCATCGATATTGGTAAAATAATAGCAGGAATAATATAAGTGGTTTATGGAAGTTGACACAAGTGGGCTGTCGGAGACTTTAAAGTTCATAGGGTTTATTTTATTACCTAGGGTTAATCCTCTATTGTTGAAGGTAGTTACATGGGAACGAGGGGGATATCCCTAAATTTTGCTTTAAAGGTATTGTGAAATATTTTATCGAATACGAGTTGTAAATAAAGAACTTGAGCAAAACTACGCGGAAACAACGCAGCATGATTATTTGCTACGAATATCAAAATATATTTACTTTAGATGTTGACAATAGACTAAAGAATTCATCCCAATCACGATGTGCTAAATACCTTTATTTCCTTATTTCATTACACGGTGCAGTTCCCACAAATCTCCGGCAAGTTTTGATGAATTCAATTTATCGCCATTCTTTTAGGGTCTTGGTTACTTTCTGTAGTGTATGGCGAGTTTAAAGGAGTGTTTGCATGTTGCGTGTTTCCAAATCCGTTTTAATCCAGAATTCATTCGCCCCTCAGTATTTTAAGCTTTGCCCAAACGAACGGTGAGCTAATGATATTATTGCCTACTAGACTTCACATATTTTTTTCTTAACTCGTTTAATCACGTAACAGTGAAGTCTTCGGTATTCCCTACCAATTTTAGTAGATTCAATGCCTTGGCAAATTTTCCGTTCATTGCAATTCTAAAGCGCAAGCTGATTTACTTGGTGCTTTGAAAAGTGTTTGTGAGTTTCGTGCAATAAAGTTATGTTTGTCAGTAAAGCCTGTTTGCTTCCGTAAGATCATGTTAGCAGTTATGCAATAACAATAACATGGTGCGTTCGAGTCAAAAGAGAGTTTATGGTGTCCAAAATTCACAGCTGTCTGATAAGAGTGAGATAGGCGCTATAAAAGGGTGTTCTTGACTGCGATTTGACATTGCTGTATTTTTGTGGAATACTTCCGACACTTCTTTGGCTTTTCTAGACATCAAAATTTCAATTAAAGGCAACGGCTTATGTACTAGTGTTTATTACAAACCTACAGATTCACATAGTTGCTTGTTGTATTCATCCTCACATCCATCACACGTCAAGAACTCCATACCTTTTTCACAGTTTCTCAGACTACGTCGTTTAGGTTGTGACGACTCTGATTTTTCCGAAAAATCAGAGGCAATGTGCTAGTCTTTCGATAAACGTGGCTATCCTGTTTCTGTCGTTTAAGCGGGCTACCACCGTACCCAATAAATCGATCGACAGGCAGCACTACAAACGGCCGAGAAGGAAAACAC